AGCTTGGCGAACAGTGATGAATTCCTGTTTCCGGTTTTCTGTTCAGTTGTTGTCGCTTTTGGATGAGAATTTCGGAAGTAGATTTTAATTTTTCCGGAAAACTCGAGCTATATAGAGTCCAATCACTGCCTTGGCATCAAACAGAGTTCGATAATGACTTTATCTACCTGATGATTAGAATGTTGAGTTGGATGTTAATCACTGTCCAGTCCACTATCATATATCTATTACTTGAAATAAATAGGAAGGATGAGACCAACAGCTTCTCTCATTTAAAACACGTATTAATTACATGATACAATACTACTTTAGTTCCTTGGCGGCAAGACCTTTTCCTGTTTATTAGCATCTGCTTTCACAAAAGCGATATCGCAGGCAAGACCAGGAGAGTTGACGCCTTTTCCTGAATATTAGCGTCTTTTTCCACAAAAGTGATGCAAGACCTGGTAGAGTCGAAGCCTCTTCCCCGTATATTCACGTTTGCTTCCACCAAGTAATATCGCAGGCAAGACCTGGGAGCGCTGAAGCCTTTTCCTCTATATTAGCCTCTGCTTCCACCAAAGCGATATCACAGGCAGGACCTGGGAGAGCTGAAACTTCTTCCGGTTTATTAGGAAATGATTTTACAATCTGGATGTGAATCTTTATGTATTAGCTGTAGGATGGAGATGACCAATGGCTATCTGGTTTAAATATGATTATAGTAATTTAGATGGAAAGTGTTTAATAATTGGATGATAATAGATCTCAGCAGTCGAGTTTATTTTTTACCTGTATAATGCGATAATTACCGCGATTAGTTTATTAATCAACGACAGATTTAAAGGTAGTGTGTATATCACACCTGAGGTTCTGCTATTTGAGAGGCGGTGGTGGTAGAATGGTCTATTGCGTACACGTTAGATCATAGGGTCTGTAATTGAGTCAAGTGACGTAGTTTCGAGCTCAAGCATATACGTGGGAGGGGGTTGGTTGTTCGAATGGTCTGTATCTGTCTGCATCAGTCCGGTTGGTGCAAAAAAGTAGGTCGTCAAATCCCATTTCGTTTAATTTCAAGTAATTATTGGAGGTATAATGTCACCTCCTCCTTCCCCTGTCCCGTCGAATACTACGTGACAAAAGATGGTCCGCAGGGGGTTGGGGTGGTCGATTGGTCCTTTGTGTACACTTTGGATCATAAGGTCTATTATTGAGTCACGTGTGTGACAAGGAATAGGGTCGTCTGGCCCATACAGTGTGCTATGAGGGAAACTTTTCCCGGACAGGGGCAGTACGGCCTACTCCAATATCGAATTCCAACTGTCAAGGGATCTTTTACGTGCACGCCAATCTGTACACAGGTCGGAATACCTGTGTAGGTCGAGAAGACACTTGTGCTGTGCTTAAGCACGCTTTCTCACTGATCTGTGATGGCACCTGCGGGGCCAACAAGGAGTGGGGGGAGGGGGTAGAGGGCCTGTTGATGATCGCACCCGTGGGAGATAGAGTGGTTAAATGAGTGTCGATGATATTTTTCTTAAAAATGTAACGCCCAATACATTGTACGTGACATTATGGACAGGTTGATTTAATAAAGTTATTTACATATGAAAGAGTAATGAAAAAATTGGGTAAAATATAAAAAGAAAAGACAAATTTAAATTTCGCTGTCTCCCTTCGTCATAATAAAGGCAGGTTAAAACAAGAGGTCCAACTGATCGATGTTTGGTTTCCTCAATTCGGCACCCGATCCGCCTATTATTAGCCTGCTAGTAGTAGAAAGTTGTTAGTCGAATCCGGATAGAAACAAAACGTCGGGAAAAAGAATCCGCTTGTTTGATGTGTAAAAGCGAAGTTCTCGCCGTACAAACCACATAGCTGGACCTGTGGATTATTTACAAATTAAAATCTGTGCGATTATTTCCTTAAAATCTGTTCCTAAGTTCTTCATAGTTAAAAAAAAAAAAAAAATTCTTTAAAACTTTTTAACAATTAAAATCTGTGATTGCCAGTGGTGACGCTCCTTGGGCCGAGAAGGAGATGGGAGGAGAAGGAACCGTCTGGTGGGTGTTGATGATCACACCTGAACTAACACAGAAATCATAATCCATTCACTAATTACTTGATTTAATTACCTGGTCAGGTGGATAGTTGTTGATTTAATTACAAATTAACCTATTATGATGATTGTTGATCAATTTTAGTCTTAGAACCTAAAATCCAGATCTAAACCTTGGACTTTGGCTTGGCATGCCGGGGACAGGTGAGGGTGTGGCGGTGTGTTCCCACTATGCCGGCAGACTGTTAATCCTTTAATTGACCTTAAAACTATACTCTGTTTAAAAGTAGTCACTCAAGAACTGTTCACTAGTGTTCAGCGTTAAAGAGCTCTTAAAATCCCTCTTAACAAAATTTATTAACCAACTAATGAATGACATTTTGAACACAGTCCATGCCGGCGTTATGCCTTCAAACATGAATTCAATTCACTATATTAATATAAATAGATGGTCGATCTGTGTCGAAATTATATTTATTTTAAGAAATATCGACAACTTGAAAACACAGTTATTAAATGGCACTTTAATTGTAAATCAGTATGGAACAAATATTTCCTATATTTATATGTGAAATGAATAAAAAAAGAATTAAATAAAAAATAAATAAAAATATTAAAATTTCATGAAAATAATGTGTATTTGCTATGACAACCATAGTCCACCATATATGTGTAAATTAGTTAATGTTATTTAATAAATGTTAAATCTGTTAAAATCAACACATTTTTATATGTGTAAATTATTTAATGTTATTTAATAAAAGTTAAATTTGTTAAAATTCATACAGTTTTATTCTTAAAAAAGATATGGACTATAGTTTATAACCCCATTTTTCTAGGATTAACCCTGGATTAGCGGCAAAATTTGACATCAAAGCCTGCCGGCAAAGTGGGAACACCCCGGTGTGGCGGCACTTTCCCCTTCTATACTCGAATATATACGCAGATAGAGCGAGGACGAGAGGGAGAGAGAGGGAGAGAGAGAGAGAGGGTGGGGGGTAACGTCCACTCGACACAAACTAGGTCATTTTGGGACTAACATATGGTTCAATTGTATTTCATGTAGAGGTGAAGGGGTCTTTAGCAGTGGGAGGAAACCGGAGTACCCGGAAAAAATCCACGAGGTTGAACAGGCGACCCTACCCCTTGTCACGTACAACCGGGGAATCGAAACCACGCCAGTTGACTCAATGACAGACCTTATGATACAGCGCGCACGTGCTAACCATTCGCCCCCCCCCCCCATACGCAGATCAAGTGATCACATGATCCATCCTACTTTTCGTCAGTGGGACAAAATACGATTGCAGCGATAATATTTCGAATCTGGTGATGATGACTGAGTACACTTTTTTTCTTTTTTCTTACTATACATTAATTCATTTTTTAAACTTATGTTGAGGAGAGGGGGAGGGGGTATTGAATCAAGGTGGCGCAGTTCCGATCCCACTCTTGTTCGTGACAAGGAGTCGCCTGTACAGCCTCGTCCTCCGGGTTTCACCCACTGCTAAAAAAATATCTAGGCGCAAGCGAATCATTGAATTAAAATTGAACCATATGTTAGTCCCGAATGACCTAGTTTGTGTCCGGTAGACGTTAACATCCCCTCATCTCTCCTTCTCCCTCCCCCTCTCTCTCGTTCTCTCTCTCCCCCCTCTCTCTCTCTTCTTCTCCCTCTCTCTCTCTCCCTCTCTCTCTCTCCCCTCTCTCTCCCTCTCCCTCTCTCTCTCCCCTCTCTCTCTCTCTCCCTATCTCTCTCTCTCCCTATCTCTCTCTCTCTCCCTATCGCTCTCTCTCCCTCTCTCTCCCTTCTCACTCTCTCCTTCTCTCTCTCTCCCTATCTCCCCCTCTCTCTCTCTCTCTCTCTCTGGGTTTATTTATCCAGTTAATTAGTTTGTAATTAAACCACATGTTATCGTGGATAATATAAAGCAGATTATCTCCTGTCAATTACCTGTTTATATCGACATCGTCTCACACCTGATCAGATACAAAACATTCTAACATTTACCTGTCCGATTCTCTTAATCACCGACAATGACCAACCAACGCGTTCTTTAGTATATAAATACATAGGCGTACGAGCTTTGGGGGGGGGGCTGGGGGCCGGCCGCCCCCCCCCCCCCATTTTGGGCACCAAATGCTGGGAATATTTGGGCACACAATTGTACTTTGTAAAAGTTGTATAAAAAAATATTGTGTTCTTGAATGTGTCCAATTTAACAGCGAATTTCTTATTATTATGTAATATACTAAGAACCTAACTACATTTTTTGGGCACCAACCACCACCGCCCCCCCCCCCCCCAGTCAAAAATTTCCCCGTACGCCTATGTATAAATATCCCTAAATATTGCAACAAGACCAAAAAAACCGCCCTTGTCGATGATTAGGACCCAACAAATGAAATGAAACTGCACGAACCGAGTTAATGAAGACTGGTATAAGTCATGTAGTGTGCTATGAGAGCAATGGTTACCCGACCAAATTGCATCAACCGGGCTAATGAAGACAGGTATACGTCATAGAAGGTGCTACGAGGGACATTTTTACCCTGGCAATGGCGTTTCCATTTTGTCTTCGTTGAGTTCTATTAAAGGTTCTTTACGTGCGTGAGTGTGTGGGTGGGTGTGTGGGTGGGGGGGGCGGGTTTCCTTGTCACATATTCACAATGCAGCATCGTGTTTATTATTTATACATAAAAACGATTTTTCATACCATCCCAACGACTAGGCGGTTTTCCTTGCCAGATATTCATAATGCCGCATCGAGTTTATTTATTTATAAATTTTAAATAAAAAAAACAACACGAGCGCCGCCATAACATTCATAAGGAATGTTAATGTAATTATACTCTCTCTGAAACTCGATCCTGAAAACATAAAATAATTCTCATGGTTACAGCCAAGTTAAAGATTACCAGGTGTAGACTCCAGCTAAATATACCTTGACTCATCAAAACTAGGAACCCAGATCGAGGTTCTTTCTTAATGTAATTTTCTCTTTTGGCAGTGTTGTTAAACATAACGCCATTTTGCTACCGTGAAGCAGACGTGAATAATTTCCAACACAATTCTTTAAAATGGCCGGTGACTGGGCTCAACTCCAATGGGAGAAGTTTGGACTGCAGTTTGATGAGGTGGATGCCGATAAAAATGGCAGTTTAAGTTTGTGTGAAGTGGAACAAGTTTTAATTAAATCTGGATTCAATGGAGATGCAGAGACTGTCAAGGTAACGCACGTGAATCATACTCACTCATTCCTTTGTTGGATATTGACAAGGCAGCGATTTTACTGGACTTTCGATCGTCATAATTTTCGTTTCGCTAGATTTGTCTCATTCATAAACTATATTATCTTGCCCCGTATTTTTAAAACACAACTCATTTATTTCTTTGTTGCGGTCTACGCCCAAAGAAACGATATTACCACAGCAGCGACTTTACTGGACCTTCATCATAATTTGCGTTTCGCAAGATTTGGCGTCATCAGAACAATATATGTTAAAAACACATCTGACTTTTTGGGGAATAAAATTTTATTCAAGGTTACAACGATGTATTTCGAGATATCATCATCAGTTAGGCCAAAATACAATATCAAACATTCTTCTGGCTTTACTCACTATATCTTTTCTCTCAGCGACAACATAAAGACTACAGAGAGAGAGAGAGAGAGAGAGTGTACACGGGGCCTCAGTGTTTCGTCACATCCCAACGATTGTCAGCCCCCCACCCCGCCTCCCCGTCCTGCACCAGTGACAAGGGGAAACTATCTCGATGCACTATCTCGGCCAACACCGGGAGGGGAGCGAAGCCACGACCTCCATGCTAGCTAGCCAGTGTCTTACCCACTTAGCCACCGTGGCCCCAGAATGAACAGAACTGGAAGTAAGCCTCATAGTATTTTGTTAACCTCTTTTGGCCACCTGATATTATTAATAAACATTTAACTTTATAAGTAAAATTTATTTGGCACCTTTGATGAATTGTATCGTTATGTAGTATTTGTTTATTTTGACGGGTTTGTTTATATTTTGTTCTACGTGGCTCTGTCCGCCATTCCAGCCAGGGGCGTGTCGCGCACCACACAGCGGGTTTTTACGAGGGTACTGTTATGGACAGGGGGCAGCGGTGGTTCGTTGAGTAAGACGTTGACTCGGTGACCAGGAGGCCCCTTATTGTTCGAGCCCGGTCTTAACCTAGAAAGTACATCGGGATTTCCGACGTGGTTCCCTCTTGTCTTTGATGCCGGACGTGGAGGCCTGGCGTTGGAATTCGAAATAAGAGTAGACCGTAGTGCCGCTGTCCGGGCAAAATTGCCAATGTTGACAAATTCTTATTTCAGCATATCTTTGTAAATTTTTCGAACTATATTCCTTTTAGAGATTCGGCAATATTTACCCGTTGTATCTCGCAAGAGATTAACAATCCCTTAAATGACGACCATAGGCTTAATAATAGTTAATAACACCGCCCCCCCCCCCCCAAAAAAAAAAAAAAAGAACAACGGTACAACACCAAATGGGCATTATTCAAAAATATTTTAAGTACCGTAGCTGAAACTGTTGAAATTTCTTAATTAAGATATGTATTCAACCCTGTCCGATTAATAGGACAGATTATTCTGACTTGCTGTGTTACAGTATGTTTATAATAGAACCAAGGTTAGAAGAACTAACAGTAGCGAAAACACGATGTAATCTGATATATATATATATATATGTGTACTACTCGACCGCTGTATACTTATATATTCTATATCTACTCTTCCTCCTACATACATATAGTTTAACCATAATGATATTACCATTTACCTGTCTATTTACCTGACCATTTACCTGACCAGTGACCATTTACCTGGTCGATTACCTGACCATTTATCTGCCCAGTTACCATGACCGGTTACCTGGTCATTTACCTGTCCGTTTACCTGGCCATTTACCTGACCATTTACCTGTCCAGTTACCTACCCATTTACCTGGCCGGTTACCTGGCCGTTTACCTTCCCGGGTACCTGCCCAGTTACCTGAGATTTAAACAGACTGATATGTAAACACATGGATAAATCTACATTTAATAGGGAAAACAACCCCTCTGCATAGAGTAGGGGGTTTAATGCCTCGTCACACAATACTTCTGTTATTTTGAGACTAACATAATGGTAAATGTCTTTGTCTGTGATTACATGTGCAATGCAAGGTAGAAGAATTTTGCCCGGACTAGATTTCTATGTTTGTATATTCTATGTTTGTATATTCTATGTTTGTATATTCTGTGTTTGTATATTATATGTTTGTATATTCTGTGTTTGTATATTCTGTGTTTGTATATTCTATGTTTGTATATTCTATGTGTTTATAGTTTCTATATTTCATGTTTGTATATTTTCCCATTTGATACACATATATATTTTTATATTTTACTAGTTGATATTCAAGAATCTTGATACCGATGGAGATAAGAAAATATCTAAACAGGAATTTCAAGCTTCTGTTAAAGAACTACCCAAGATAGAAATGCAGTAAGTTTTCATTTCATGACTCCACTATAATACCCTTTTAGACATATCGTTTGATTAACGTCTTTAACGAATTAACGTGTGTATTAATAATAAAATATAATATTTCACAATTAATGTTGTATGTACATGTAGAGTTATACTCTATCACACTTTTAATTAAAATTGAAAATATTTTATTTCCCCAGGGAGATGTCTTTGCGACGTGCTTTTAAAATGATGGATACAGACAATAGTGGATTTCTAACCAAAAGAGAAATTATTGATGCTGTCAAGACGCTGCCTGGGTTAGATGTCTCGGCTGAAAAGCTGGCTGATCTTCTCATTTTCCAAGTTACAGGTGAGAAAGTATATTTATCGAGCGAGAGGTTTTGCCAGGATCCCGATATTACGACATTGTTAAGATCCTATTGTTTTACACCGACTAGGCTGATGAAGACATGAAATTAAATGGGGTTTAACGTCCTACTGTGCTGCTCCGAACGGGGCTAATGAAGACGGGCTTATGCCATATAGTGTGCTATGAGGGAAATTTTACCCGGGCAGCGGCACTATGGCCTACTCTTATATCGAATTCAAACTGCCAAGGAATCTTTTACGTGCACGCCAATGTATTTACGGGACCTCGGTTTTTCTTCCCATCCGAACGACTAGACAGATACATAATACTATTTTATTTGTTGCAGATAAAGACAAGAAAATCAGCTTTGACGAATTTCTACACGTGTTCGGTATCGAGGCTGCTAGCGCCCACATGAGAGAGGTCTTTAAAAAGATCGACAAAGACAACAGCGGATTCTTATCCAAACAGGAAATCATCGACAGTATCGCTGCCGACTCGGAGTTAAATTTGAAGGCGAAGAAAATCTCTCCTCTTCTCATTCACTTCAGTAAAAATAAGGGAACAGATAAAATAAATTATGATGAATTTATTACTTTGTATACAACCGAAAAACCTTAAATTAAAAATGTTCTGTCATATTTTTAAACGATAAAGGATGAATTCTTTTCAAATACGTGAATGTAATCTTTTGGTAGTAAATATTAGAAAAAAAGTTGAAAAAGAATGAAATGACAAATTTGGACATTTTAAAAAATGATTCCTAAACATAAAACTCGCCGAAATATTACAAGTTATTAAAATTCTATGAACACACAATTTTATATTTAAGTATTGTTTATAATTTCGAATTTATAAAGGAAATTAAAACCAGGTAATTTTGTAAAGGTAATTTGTAACTATGGTTACCTGTATTTTGATCAATATTTATTTAATTGTTGTAAAATTGTATTAGATATTATTTTATTCTATTTAAACTATCTTTAATTTATTTTTAACTTATATTATTTTGTCTTACTATGTTAATAAAGATCTTTTTAATTTTAAATTCTCCTTAAAGTTTGTTCAGCCAATATGATGACACCAATGTATGTTGTTCCGGGACACGTATTAAACTATGCTTCCTAATTGGGTGCTAAACGATTCCAAACAATACACAGGTCACAATTCTTTGGAATACAATTACTGCAACGTTTCGACTAGGCTTCTCTGGTATTTATGAAGCAATGATTTTTGACTGTCACATCTTCATACTTACCGATATATTGTTCCAACTGCTTATTCCTGAACGATGTTTCCACCTGGGATCTCTATTACTGAAGGTAGTTAATAAACCCGGCTCATCTCGGCTTTTTTTATTGTCCTTTTTTTTGGGGAGGGGGGGGGGGGGGGTCTTCTCTCCGAGGAATAAGCCCAAGTCAGGTTTGTTATCATATCTGAGTTACTGTATGTTTGAACAATATGGTTATGATGTGATGGAGATCAGAATCTTATAACAGCGATGATTACCCCATCGAAATCTACCCATTTGGTAAACCGAAGAGACTGCAAACACACAGGAGATACAAAAACCGAAACGCGGGCAAAAACACAGGGCATAAATCGGAGCCTCAACCCAACCCCTGCTGCCTGGGAGGATGACAAAGGCTGGGTATAAAGTAAATATCTATGAATACTAGGCTCAGTATGGATTTAAAACCATTTGTGTTGATATACTTATCCAGACGTTACTTTCCTATTTCAGATCACTCAACAAATATTTCTGTCACGTTTCAGCTATAGGAGTTTTGGTCAATTTGAAGACTGTGACTTTTACTTAAAGATGACCTGGATTAGATCTACCACATGACCAAGGGGACTAGTGTGTAATCTATCACATGACCAAGGGGACTAGTATTTAATCTATCACATGACCAAAGGGGACCAGTATGTAATCAGGGCCGTAACTAGCTCAGAGCAACGAGGGGGGCGGGAAGTGTTCTTGGGGGTGCTGTAATATTGACGGACAATGCATATCTATTTTTTTTAGGGTTACGGGCCTGTATGTAATTCTGTATTCAGTCACATGACCATGTAATCTGACATACACCATACAGGGTGCTATGAGGGACATTTTGCCTAGAAAAAGGCGCTATGGCCTACTATTATATCAATTTCCACAGGACCTTGCTTTATAAGCCCATCCCAACAACTATACATTGTCCCTTGCCAGACCCCGAGACCCTCCATCCTACACCACTGACAAGAGAGAATCATCGCAAAAACCGGGATCGAACATTGGGTCAGCAGGTTAGCGAGCCAAAGTCTTACTCACTGATTCACCGTGGTTCACAGTTTGAATTATCCAAGAGGACTCGAGTTTGGTCTCTCATTATTACCCAATAATAAAAACTAATTATTATTTTCATGTTTGTATATTAATAATAGATGTTATAATATATTTATATACATAATAATAATACTAATAGATATCACAGATAGACGTTATAATATATTTACAATAAAACATCAAATATTACATAATCTGTACTTTCATTTCCGGGACTGAATTAAGGTATAAGTTTAAGGGCAGCAGTCCAGGGGCCTCTGCCATGCAGCTGGTCGACCTCCAAAGACTGATGCTGAATAAAAGTATAAGTACTATAAAATATCTCTGTAGCGTACATATATTTGTGGTAAACATTACTACATTCAAAATAAACACTGTTCTGTATACCAGGGTTGGGGACCAGATAGACCCTAAAAAATGTTAATCCATCTTCGATTATTTGAGGTTGGTTATTATTCATTAACAATTAAACTAAAGTAAAATCTACCATCTTTAATTAAGACTGTGTTCAATAAAATATACACCTTGTTACAATGTTATAGGTGAAATATAGATCTAATAATGCTGATTGAGTATACAGGCACATTATTGTCTAAATGACCAATCTCTATATACAATTATACAAGCTGAATATATTTTATTGTATGATTAGCAGTATATAACGGTTATGGTTATTTAGGCACATTTTATCATGTAAAAAGTTTACGTTTCTTAATGCTAAGTGTAATCGTTATGTATATTTTGTTAATGCTTGAATGTAATTTAGGCACAGATTGTTTTCAATAATACTAGGTTGGTAATGGGACTATTTTATCTCTCGGGTTAATATTATAAAAAATTTAAAATGGGGGTGTCCACTGAGTTATCCCCCCTAACTCTCCAGAAAAGATAACGTACTAGATGCACATCTTTGGGTATAATAATTTCATAGCATGTGTGTAATATATATAGTGTTTAGATACTACATGAAGTCCAGATGATCAAGACTATACATCAAGTGACTTTAGTGTCTGGGTAATCTGGATGATATATAAGAGAATAAATACACCACGGTGTGTGTTGTCTTTTTAAATATATTCATATTACACGCATATTTCTAGAAATCAAATAAATGATGATATTTTGAAGGGCCAACAGATATTTAAATCGTTTCTAACAAATAAATTATTAAAATAAAATTTTGATCTAAAAATCACAAATTTGTAAATGTATAAAAAGCACATCACTAAAAGGTTTTTTTCCCTTAAAAGTAAAATTTTATAAAATTTGTAATATTTTTAATACTGGACTTGTAGTAATGTTGGCGGACGGTTTCTAATGTTCATGGTGGGTGTTCCGACACTTCTTTGCTGGTTGAAACTAGGTTGGGGCTGGGCCATCGCTGATCCGTAAGTTTTCTGAAAACAAGTAAAATAATAATATTTAAACGGATTGTTAATCACTTGATAACAACAATATGGTGATGAATTGTTTCAATGGCATGGAGAGAAAGAGAGAGAGAGAGAGAGAGAGAGAGAGGGTTTAAGTCTACTCAACACAAACTAGGTCATTTTGGGACTAACATATGGTTCAATTTTAATTCTATAATTCGCTTGCGCATAAGGGTCTTTAGCAGTGGGCGGAAACCAGAGGACCCAGAGACAACTCACAAGGTTGGACAGGCGACCGACCCTACTCCATGTCACGTACAATTGGAATTTGATATAAGAGTAAGCCTTAGCGGTGCTGTCCAGACAAAATGTCCCTCATAGCACACTTGTTGTAGAGCATATGCCCATCATTTGTAGCCCAGTCGGGGCAGAACAGGAGGACGTTAAAAAAAACCATTTTATTGCATTAAATTATATAGACAATGCTTAGTTTCTCAAAAGTTGGATGTTAAACTCTCATTTGATTTGATTCGAGTCGGGAATTATAGTACTTACTCGTCTTTGAGTTCTCATCTGAGCATTATAAAACGACATGGAATCCGGATCATTCATCAATAACTCACGTTGTAATCTATCAAACTTCTCTTGTTCATCTTCAGGCTACAATTATATAACATAACAATTACACATGATTTCATTACAATTACACAACATTTCATTGCAATTATACAGCATTTCATTACAATTACACAACATTTCATTACAATTACACAACACTTCATTACAATTACACAACCTGGTTTCTTTGTACACATTGGTTTGCGAATCAATGAACCCTTGACAGTTGGAATTCGATATAAGAGTAGGCCGTAGTGCCGCTGTTCGGGCAAAATTTCGCTCATAGTACACTGTATGGTGTATGCCCGTCTTCATTAGCCCAGGTTAGGAGCAGAACAGTAGGACGTTAAACCCCATTTCATGTCATTTTCATTTCCTATTATAAATGGCAACACTGACCCCTTTAAAAGAACCAGATAATTTTTATTGTATGTTATTTATATATATGTATAAATGTTACTTACTATAGGTTGTGTATTATAGGCCATTAAAACACCCGGTCTCATTCCATGGCCAGCAGCTAAACTCGTAGAATTCTCTTCATTTACATTTAAAAAACTCTCAGCATACCAATTATCAAACTCTACAATAATACAGGTGTAATAATTAAAATAGGTCTTTTTACTTTCTTTCACAAGCCGTTAGGGCTGTTGGGCGGCCATATTGTTTAGCATGTGCACCTTTGATCAGAGAGAAAGAGAGGGAGAGAGCGAGAGAGAGAAAAATGGGGTTTAACATGCACTTGACACAAACGAGATCATTTCGAGACTAACATATGGTTTATTTTTATTTCTATAATTCGCTTCTGCTGTGTAGGGGTCTTTAGCAGTGGTAGGAAACCGGAGGACCCAGAGAAAACCTACGAGGTTGGACAGGTGACCCTACAGGGGAATCAAAACCACACCAGTTGACTCAATAACGGACCTTACGATACAGCGCGCACATCTAACCATTCAGACATCCAACCCCCCAAATTTTGTTAACGGTTAAATACCATGGTTTCGATTTCCTGCTTGTATGTGACAAGGAGTAGGGTCACCCAGATAAATTAGTAGCTGTTTTCCATTAGTTTGTGTTATTGTTTAAAGATACATTAGTTAAGAGTTTAATAAAGGGTTGGTCATTCAAATTACATCATTCTCAGCCAAGTTATCTATAAAGTTGTGTTATCATTGTATGTAGTTTTGACAAGATGTGTGCACAGTGGTAACCAGGGCACTGGTAGAATGGGGACTTAAATTAAATTTTTAAATGGCGAACCGTTTTAATCTAATTAAAATCTCGAGTATCCGATGCCATCGAGAGTCGATTATGGTCTTGTTTTGTTAATAAATGTCTAATTAATAATTTATATAACATTTCAGGCCTAAAGAAAGACCTGCAATAGGCAGATTTAGCTCTTGCATAATGTATGTTTAAATATCATATATCTATTTAATCTAGCTGGAAAAATTTGGAAGTGAAAGCCATGATATAAAAGTATAAAATCCACACCTTGTATGAGTTTCTGTCGACATTGATCCACCAATTTCTGACAATATTGTACTTCTGATTTTAAATTCTTGAGTTCATCAAAGTTCACGCGATACGACTGCTTCATTTCTTTAAGTTGTTTGATCGTATTAAATTCCTCTTCACTGATAATCACATCACCTTCTTCATTAAACATCGTACCTGATAAAAACACAACAAATAATCACATCACCTTCCTACTTACTAGAAAGGGAGAGAGAGAAAGAGAGAGAGAGAGTCCACTCGACACAAACTAGGTCATTTTGGGACTAACACATGGTTCAATTTTATTTCAATAATTCACTTGCACGAAGGGGTCTTTAGCAGTGGGAGGAAAACGGAGGACCCGGAGAAAACCCTGATATTGGACCGGCGAACCTACTACTTGTCACGTACAACCGGGGAATCGAAACCCCGCCAGTTGACTCAATGACAGACCGTATGATACAGCGTGCGCACGTGCTAACCATTCGGCCATCCAACCCCCTCTACTTACTAGAGGTTTCCCCTTGTCAGTGGTGCAGGATGGAGGGCCTGACAAAGACAGCTGTCTAGTCATTCGGATGGGACAAAAAACTGAGGTCCTGTGTATACGTTGACATGGATGTAGAAGATCCCTTGGCAGTTGGAATTTGATATATAAGTAGGCCATAGTGCTGCTGTCCGGGCAAAATTTCAAACTGTTTGGCGTATGCCCGTCTCCATTAGCCCAGTCAGAGCAAAATAGTAGGCATTAAACCAGTGATGGGATTTCAAAATTTTACTTGTCGGACATTTTACCGAAAATAAAGGGGCATAACTCTTATCGTTATTTAAGCAGACGAATTCGTACCACAATTAAAAGTCACATGTCAAAATATTCAAATCCCATACATAATAAAAATAGGTGAACCTCGCTATTTTTCATATTTAATTCCCGTACAGTATTCAATTCATACCACAATTAAAAACCACATGTCAACAAAATATTCAAATCCCGTACGTAATAAAACCCCATTTCATTTTTATTTCATCTGTTTCAACACAATGTTTGATATTGTGATGTCAATATTCGTTGAAATGTAGAGAACTGAACTGTTTCCAAACATGATGAGTTTACAGACAGTGTGGAATAACGTTATTAATGAGCAGACATGATTATGTGTCACCGTTGTACATTACACCAATAAAAATGGAATTTGACTGAATGATTGTCAGAGATGTCTCTTCTTTTGGTTTTATCATTTATTTTTTTTTTCACTCTCATCAAGTTGCCTTGGAGAACTGATATTGGACTCTTCCTTTCCTTAATAATAGGTATGATAATACCAGATTAGTTTAAAAGTTTACATTATTATTATAATGTTTAATTAATACGCCAACCATACCTTGAGCCTCTCTATCAGCTTTTAAATGATCTAGCCTCTGTCTCAGGTTATCTATTTCTATCTTATTCCCGTTTATCGTCCTTGCTCTCTCTGTATATAACTTCTTCTTTACGGCCAAAATTTCTACATATTAATAAAAAAAATATCTAATACAATTGTATTATACACAATCATAATTTTATGCAGTGAGTTAAGTCATGTCCAGGGGCCTTCTTCTCAAAAACTTAAACATGCAAGAGCATATTACAAGTCTTTCTTTAGGCCTGAAATGTTATCTAAATTATCAATTAGACATTAATTAACTTATCCAGACCATAATAAACTCTCGATGTCAAGGCTAGCCTTTGATGTTGGCTGGATTAGATTCCTATATGCCGCTTAACGGCCATTGATAATTAAATCAAAACAGTGGATAATCGAGACTATGCTGTTTATATTAATGATTTTAGTAATGATGACCGAGACTATGCGAAAATTTCACACGCTTCATTCTCGGCTCATAGTTGATCAATTTGACTGAAATTTTCAGCAAATTACCTTTACATTATCTAGTTTTTAACTATTATAGCGAGAACTGCCATCTCTTTATCTTATCTCCCATAATGTATCTTTAAGCTCGGATACTGTAAGATTATAACCATTTCCTTGGCTTAGACTTTTAGCTCTTAATCAATGAATAGGTTGCATCCTTAAAATAATTCGGTCTTTCGTGGATAAGACCCCTGAATTGTCAGGAAAGTGAACGTCCTAAAACCGACAAGGGGTATCTAATGTGTAGCAATGTGAAGTGCCATCAGACGGTAGAAAGAGTAATTATCAACGACTTCAGATCAATGTTTTCATTATGCTTATCAAATATGGTCAGTGCCTCATCACCCCAAATACAGTGTCTGAACCAACCCCTTCCTCCCCCAAATAAAATACATCTTTGGTTATAATATAATAATGTAATGTACCTTTATTTTCTATAAGTATACTGTTAATTTTACTTCCCCTTTCCTGTTTAAATTCTTCAAAAGCTGTTGTTCTACTGGGTGGTGTGCTGAAACAGATAAAAAACAGTATTACTGGGAGGTGTGCTGAAACAGTTAGCAAACAGTATTACTGGGTGGTGTGCTGAAACAAACAGATAGCAAACAGTATTACTGGGTGGTGTGCTGAAACAGTTAGCAAACAGTATTACTGGGTGGTGTACTGAAACAAACAGATAGCAAACAGTATTACTGGGTGGTGTGCTGAAACAGTTAGCAAACAGTATTACTGGGTGGTGTGCTGAAACAGATAGCAAACAGTATTACTGGGTGTTGGGCTGGCTGAAACAGATAGCAAACAGTATTACTGGGAGGTGTGCTGGCTGAAACAGATAGAAAACAGTATTACTGGGAGGTGTGCTGGCTGAAACAGATAGAAAACAGTATTACTCCTTTAAATATAGTCTACATGTGAATTCAAAGCAGCTTCTGATCACCCATTAAATATTGTCTACATGTGATTTCATACCTGGGTCGTTCTTTTATGTTGGAGCCTGTTCCCATGGAGCTGATTGGTGAAGCCGTGCCATCGAGTTCCTTGTCCTCCTTCCTGTCTACAGGGGTATGGGGTGACTTTAATTCCCGATCACCTTTAGCTGAATGTGAAGGACTGGTGGATGCTTTACCAGCTACAGGACTGTAAACATACAACAATTATTATATATTAATAGATTCTAAAAACATGAAATATCAACTTATTTTCCTTGTCCATCGTTTGCATGTGACATTTGTAATAATTCATGTTTATAAGTTCGATATAAATGAAGGACGAAGACCAAAAGAGAGAGAGAAATGGGGTTTAACGGCCACTCGACACAAACTAGGTCATTTCGTGACTAACACATGGTTCAGTTTTTATTTCCATAATTCGCTTGAGCCTAGGGGTCTTTAGCTGTTGGAGGAAACTGGAGGACCCAGAGAAAACCCACAAGGTTGGACAGGTGACCCTACTCCTTGTCACATACAGCCGGGGAATCGAAACCACGCCAGTTGACTCAATGACAGACCTTATGATATAACGCGCACACGCTAACCATCGGCCATCCAACCCCAGTCTTTTTAAATCATCAATATGGATTAAGCTGTGAAAGAATGGATAATGTATGAAACGACAATCAGCTGTTCTAGATTAATAACTTTAGCATGATGATAAGTGGTATTAAATTATAATTAAAATTAACGAAAATAATATTAAACTACAGGAAAACAGAGAAATTATGAATGAATATGAAAAATGGCACAAGAATCATTAACGTTAAATATTATAGATTAATAATATAATATATTGATTATGCCTTTCATAATCAGTCAGCAAAGATAGAATTATTAGTTGTTACTTCGAGTTCAACAGGTGTCAATTGATTTAACACAAAAATTTCACCCAACAAGGTGTGCAGCAACTGAGTATGATTACATCGTGACCAATCATGAGAGGTGAAATCTTTGATTGATTACATCACGATTCTACTCATACCACATCTGTTTTCGTGATTGTTAGAACTGTTAAAGAACTCAATTATACGTTACTGTACTTCAAATCACGATCTTGTTAAGACAGCAACACACTAGGCTAAAGTTGGCACCAATTGATTTGACCGATGGATGCAGCCACTCAATTTGATTCAAATACACATCTATATTTCGTTCCGTTTTTTTTATACTTTTGATGGCCTTTACTACATGAAGATCTGACCAGTTGTAGTGGAAGGTCACACCAGGGGTCATACGAGTGGCTTTGAGTAACTTTAAACCCTATGATGTCGGACATTTGACTAACCAATCAAGGTTGATGTTTCTAGTAGGATACCCACAGATCCGCCCATTGCGCGCCAAGAATTTGGTGCAAAGGACCATTTCATTGGCTAATCCCTCACATCAACCAGAGCGTGCATTATATAACAACTCTTTAAGATCCTAGTGTAGTAAAGATAAGTAAAACGAAATTTTAAACTATAAAAAACGAAACGATGTAGGATCTGTGTTTTAACCAGATTGTTATGAGGGAGACACATTAGGTGAAATTTGGCACCAATTGATTTGACCGATGGATGCGGCCGAATGATTCGCCTAGTGTGTGCCTGCAGTACTAATTTGTAGGCCCCTACATGTGATCTCAGCTTTTCGCCCAATCTAAATAACTAGACATGTTCTCTTTGACAGCATCACAGGCACCAAATGTGAGAAGTGGGAAGGGGGTTTAAATATCCTGACGTTATTTTGTATTAGTTTCAGTGGTTTAAACCAGGTTAATTAATGGTTATATAATTAAATAAAATATTATAAATAATAAATTAATATCATATTATTAGAGAATTATATATACTCTTCAAAAAAAGTAGGGGATAATATTCAGAAACAATACAAAAGTGCGGAAATGCACTGCTGTTTTTATTAGAGGTAACCAGTGTATGTTAATAACAGGCCAATTGCCTACACATGAACATAAACAGTTCATATGGGCAGCTTATCTGACGGCCCAATTTCACTTGCAAATAGATACACTGTCAAAAGTGAAATTGGACGTTTTTGATTTTTGTCTTAATAATGAATAATTGCTCCACCAATCCTCAGACATTCAGCAATTCGTCATGTCATGCTCCTAATCAACCATCCAATCACGATTTGGGGCCATCTGACACACTCCTTTTGCAGTGCCATGGCCAATTCTTGCAGTGTTGTCGCTTGACCAAATTAAACTTAACACATTAAAGCAAAGATGCGCTAAACAGTAAATCTTATGCAAGAACCAATAGGAAAGCAAACATGGATAGGATAAACCAGCAAGGGGCAGTTTTCATCAAATTTGACAATGAACCCCTCCCACGTGTATGGCGCTATTGCGTGTCGCACATGCAGCTCAGTGGTTCTGTTGGGTCGATAAGTTCTTCATCTGTGAACATACTCTCAAAGCATGTCAAGTGTCCATGACTATTTCATATCACAACCTCCTACTTTTTTTGAAGAGTAAAACAATTGTATGACCTGGTCCTAAGTTCCCCAAGCATTCTCAGATTTCAACTTTCAATCACTGCATGTTTATGAGAAATATCTTTGATCCTTATTTGATACCTTATAACAACAAAAGTTTTATAAAGGGTCATATTTTAGTTAAAATAACGTGAACAATTTTGAGTAAATTCTTAACTTAAGTCTGAGAATGCTTTGTGAACTCAGGGCCTGAAATGATTTCTAAAACATTGTGATGATTTCACGAAAAAAAGATAAAGCCAGATGTAACAGTTTCTGAAATGATTATAAAACATTTGATAATTGTAAAAAAAATCAAGAAAACTTAAAATAAAATATTTTTAGAACACAACCTTTCGACTGATCAAGACGTTAAATTTGTGCTATAATTTTAGTGCTCAGCCAATAATTGAAACAATCTCTATTCTTATGTCGAGGCTTGGCTCCAGGAGACTGGTCACAACCATCGTTAGGCACAAATTATCTCATAATGTACGTATTTATTATAATTCAAGGCTGTGTGATAATTTATGTTGAGGCTTGGCTCCAGGGGAACGGTCATTAACATTGTCACACATAAATTATCACATGATGTACGTATTTATTATAATTCAAGGACATGTGATAATTTATGCCGAGGCTTGGCTCCAACATATAATACTATATTGTGTTATATTTTGTGTCTGACAGTATCTATGATAGGTGCCTTATGTCCTGGCTTGTGTATTGTACAAACAAGTGAGTGATTGAACGTGAATCAGGTGCTGCTGAGGCTGTTAAACTGTTAATTATGTCCAGTACCTGTCTTGTACCAATCCGTTAAAAGCACTCATGGCGTGTACAGCCGAAATAATCCTACTGTTAAATAATTAATAAAAAAATAAAATAAAGTTGAATGATGAAAAGAGAAACAAAGGAGTATATAAGAAATATTAACATGTAATAAAATTGCGTCGTATTCGTCAGGCTTTTCTTCTTGTTCTATTAGTGTTTAAAGTCTGCTTCCACCGAGGATGATAGCGCAGACAAGATGCTGAGCGCATGGGCAGTGATCTATCCTGCGGGGGGAGAGAGAGAGAAATGTTGTTTAACTTCCACTCGACACAAACTAGGTCATTTCGGGACTAACATGTGGTTTAATTTTATTTCATTAATTCGCTTGCGCGTAGGGGTCTTTAGCAGTGGGAAGAAACCGGAGGACCCGGAGAAAACCCACAAGGTTGGACAGGCGACCCTACTCCTTGTCACGTACAACCGGGGAATCGAAACCACGCCAGTTGACTCAATGACAGACTTTATGATACAAGACGCACACACTAACCATTCAGCCATCCAACCCCGCTCCTGCTCACACTAGGGATCAAAACCACGACCGCAAGCCATAGGTGACCGACCAGCTAGAGCTTAAAGTACAACACTTTAGACCACTAGACCAGCTAGAGCTTAAAGTACAACACTTTAGACCACTAGACTAGCTAGAGCTTAAAGTACAACAATTTAGACCACTAGACCACCCCAACCGTCCTGTCTAGGCATCTCACTTCAAACACTAATACCTAATTTTATTGCATGTATATTGAGTGAAGGATAAATTCTCCAACTAGTCCAAATATGATTTAGGGAGCATGGAATCTCCTGCTAGAAAATAAACAGAAATTGTTTCGTATGGCATATATCCTTCAGAAACAACTGCTAGTGTGCAATAAAGCACCACACCAAAAATAGGAATTGAAGGGCATTGAATGCAGCATGCCATTGTGATATGTTTTATAATGATTTATTGAATGCAGGATGCAAGTGTGATATGTATAATGATTTATTGTGACTAAAGACTTAATGTGTGTCCTGTGATTCATTGAGACAAATCATGCTTTAATCTGTTTGTCAGATTCTACTTACTTCATTCTATCCTCTAGACAGGCATGACATATATAATACATATCATTAACATAACACTATATCCTCTATACAGGCATGATATACAGAATAAATATTGTTAATATAACACGATATCCTCTATACAGGCATGATATACAGAATAAATATTGTTAATATAACACGATTATGACATCATTCTATACAGGCATGACATCATTCTATACAGGCATGACATCATTCTATACAGGCATTCTATACAGGCATGACATCATTCTATACAGGCATGACATCATTCTATACAGGCATGACATCATTGTATTCTCAGGCATACCATATAGAATAAATATCGTTAATATAGCATTACAACCTGACATATAGAATAAATAACATTTATATAATAAGAATATAACATCATAGAATAAATATTTTATCACAGTATTCATACATTATAAATCTCAAATGAGATGACATGACAACCAGCTAATATAAAAGACATAATTTCTATCGTGTAACCTATATTTAATTTTTTCGCTAACTTTTCTTTAAATTATCGTGCACCAGAACACATGTCAAATCAAATCAAAAATTAGTCTAATTTATATAAAGTCATATCTTGGTAGCAAGGTCTAAATTTCTTACCACAATTAATCTCATTTTAAAGAGAGCTAGATAGAGAGAGAGAAATGGGGTTTCACATCTACTCGACATAATCTAGGTCATATCGGAACTAACATATGGTTCAAATTTTAAAATTTGCTTGCATGTAGGGGTCTTTAGCAGTGGAAGGTAATCAGAGGACCTGGAGAATTGAAACCTCGGCACTTGACTCAATAACAGACCTTCTGATCAAACGTGTACACGTTATACTACTCCGCTACCCAACCCACCATCTAATTTTAAATTGAACTGAACATTAAATATAAATATTAAATGTTAAAATATTATATCTAAATCTATATTAATGCCATTTAAAGATAATATATATTTTAGGAAATATCAGATCAGATAGGATGAATTGTTCTAATATAATATCTGCAACTAAGCTGAGCTTTTATACTTGAATAAAATATAATATTATCTAATATTAGGAAGGATATATTTTGGATATTAAATGAGTTATCCTAGAATAGTAATAGTTGTAACTAAGCTGGACTCTATACTTGAATAAAATATATTCAATATTAGGAAGGATATATTTTGGATATTAAATGAGTTATCCTAGAATAGTAATAGTTGTAACTAAGCTGGGCTATATACTTGAATAAAATATAATATTATCTAATATTAGGAAGGATATATTTTGGATATTAAATGAGTTATCCTAGAATAGTAATAGTTGTAACTAAGCTGGACTATATACTTGAATAAAATATAATATTATCTAATATTAGGAAGGATATATTTTGGATATTAAATGAGTTATCCTAGTATAGAAATAGTTGTAACTAAGCTGGACTCTATACTTGAATAAAATATATTCAATATTAAGGAAGGAAGATATTAAATGAGTTTTCCTGTAACAGCTGTAACTAGACTGGGCTCTATATTTCAAAGCTAAATAATATATTGGGGTATATATTCAATTATGACATCTAAAAATATTATATAGTTATTGGTATCAGAAGCAATGTCTTTTAAAATGATCTAACTATATTATTACCTACTGTCTATAACAGTTTTATAAAATAACTTACACAAGCAGGGAAGTTTGTGTATTTTGACGACTTTAAAAGAAAACATTTAATGTATATACACGTGCATACTTTTACAAATTCAAATTATAATGAATTTTACCAAGATTAAAGAAGAAATGAAAGCATATTTAAACTGGTGAGAGTTTGTATATATAGAAATGGTCTAATAAATATTAAAGAACCTTGGTCCAAGAACTGAACCTTGTGGTACACCAAAGAAGTACCTATGAAAGTCATCATCAATACAAAAGAGCTAGGTTTAATATTTTCTATGTCATCAATAATCTTATTTTATTGGTTTTGATGACGAATTATCAATCAATAATCCAATAATTATGTTGTTTTTTTAAATCAATGTGGTTCGAATTTTTTTATTTTTACAGATTCAGTGTTTTGTCAGCGTTAAATAAAAGATATTTCAGATTAGAGAAAAGAAATCGTAAATAAAACTAACCTCTGTCTGTCCTTAAATCCCTTCTTTTTACTTTCTCTTTCCTTTTCTTTTTTCTTTAACTGTACAACAGCTGATGGTTCGGCTTTTGCGGATCTTGGAGCGTTACCGACACCGAATCCTGAACCGTCTGACTCACCAACCATAGAAGTGTCTTCCGATATCAAACCAGCCTGTAGAAAGAACAGGAAAAAATTTAAATAATTAACTGAATCAATTTCTACATATTAGTAATATAATTACAAAGTGGACATTGATTTGGCCTCTGATTACACTGTAAGCCGAGTACTATTTAATCTTGTGTATCTAGCACTAATTTCTTTCACATACTTTTAATATCAAATCTTTGTTTAAAAATTCGTAAAAATCATTTTCTTCTGGCTGATTATATTTATAAGTGTTCAATTTACAAGTATTTAATAAAAATTTAATCATTATATTTCAATAATCAATTGGGTTGTTTATTTTTTAACAGTGATCGAGAAAATTAAACGCTTGTAAATTGGACACTCATTATCAAAATTGAATGGTCAGCTTTAAACTGGACACAAGTACAAATTAGATGATTTGGGGTGATTTTAAATGATTTTTACGTATTTTTAAACAAAGATTGGATATTGAATGGATGCTAAAGAAATTAATGTTAAATACCCAAGATTAAATAATACCTGGGTTACAGTGGAATCTCTAAATGGTTGACCATGTGAACTTTTTAAACTAATATCTAATTCTTAATTTAGATATTGTAGAATCAATTCTACCTGGTCATATTACCTGTTTTCGCCACCTTGGAACGAGACCCTAAGAGTTGCCATAGTGACACGAATCTCACCTGTTGAGCTGCGGCTACGGCCATGGGATCGGTCCTATCAATCAGTGTGTATTTCTGACGTAATCTCTCCTCTATCTCATGCTCCATTTGTCTTAAATAACAATTTTTTTAAAAAAAAAACATTATTCAGGGGTACAACAAGCATTTAAATAACAACAAAAATTTAATCATATTTTATATAAAAAATAAGACATAACCATTTCTATGGAATACACAAGGCTGTACAAAAAAAATCTTTCCAAAAAATTCAGCCATGGAATATTTATAGTATTCGAGGGACCTTGATTTTTCAAACCATCCAAAGAACTTTTCATTTTTTCCATGACTGGCATGGATGACAGGAAAGCAGACTGGAAATTCTGAGTAACTTTCAAGTGTGTCCAAAATCATGGCCTAATTAGAACGCCTGTGAGACTTTAAAATATAATGACATAAAATGGATAATCAAGACTTTGTCTTGTTTCTCCAATGCCATTGCTACAATAATAAACAGTCAACACTACATCTTCCAAATTTGAATGAAATTTTCAAAATATTAATTTTTCATTATCTTTTTTTGAACTGTTTTAAAGATAAAGGGGAATTTTAAATAAAATAAACTTACAAATAAATTTCTTTAAAAGCTTCGTATGTTCCTTGAATTTGTCTGACGTTTATAATCTGCACAATTAGAAAGATAAAATAGATAATACATATAAAAATGAAATGAAATGAAATGGACATACACCATACAGTGTGTTATCTGGACAGCGGCATTATGGCCTACTCTTATATCGAATTTCAACTGCCAAGGGATCGGGATCTTTTATATGCACTTAAATGTGTACATGTGACTTCGTTTTTTCGTCCCATACTAATGACTGACTATACATTGTGTATTACCAGACCCTCCATCCTGCACCACCAACAAGGGGGAATCATGCCGGAAAATCCAGCCTCCGCAGGGATCGAACAGGGGACCGGCAGGTTAGCAAGTCAAGGACTTACTGAGTGAATGATACATGTAAACATGACGGAAACAAATTAACTCCTTATTATAAGTGGAATAAAATCCCTGAAACGGTGCTGGTACACCTTGGATGGATTAATCCCTAGTACACTGCTGGTACACCTTGGGTGGAATAACCCCTGAAACTGTGCTGGTACTCCTTCAGACCGTGGTTGAGGAATCTCTGATACAGTGTCGGTAAGAATGGAGAGTAACTTTAGTCAGTCAATGTAGGTAAAGTTGTTCACATAGTATCTAGACTTCAGTGAATATCAATCAATGACATTTTGTTTATGACAGTTGAGTTATTTCATCAGTTCACATGACAAAGGTAATTAATCATACCATGTTTATCACAACAAACAAAACATAAAACATTTATTAAATAAAATTACTGAATATAATAGAAGCTGTGTATTAACAATCACTCTCTGGTTGTGATCAAGCTTACACCATTGCTTGATAACAAGACAATCATTGTTAAAACTTTTCTTTGAGAGAGAGAGAGAGAGAGAGAGAGAGAGAGAAATGGGGTTTAACGTTCACTCGACACAAACTAGGTCATTTTGGGACTAACATATGGTTCAATTTTTTATTTCAATAATTTGCTTGCGCGTAGTGGTCTTTAACAGTGGGAGGAAACCGGAGGACCCAGAGAAAACCCACAAGGTTGAAGAGGCGACCCTACTCCTTGTCACATACAACCGGGCAATTGAAACCACGTCAGTTAACTCAATGACAGACCTTATGATACAGCGTGCACGTGCTAACCATTCGGACATCCTACCCCCCCTTTATTTTGTGTGAAGTTATGAGGGTTTGAAGTTTGGAGAAAATGTACCCTAGATTTTTTATTATCATAGCATCCATGGTACTTGACAAGTCTTGATTTTCTATTTTGTGGTTGAACTGTTAAATGACCTACAATAGGCAGGGTTTATCTCTTACTAAGACATCTTTAAATAATTAAACCCAATCGTATACTTACATCAACCTCGTCAACTGTTCCCTCTAGATAAGGCTTGTTAAACAATGAAACCCAATCGTATACTTACATCAACCTCGTCAACTGTTCCCTCTAGATAAGGCTTGTTAAACAATGAAACCCAATCGTATACTTACATCAACCTCGTCAACTGTTCCCTCTAGGTATCGTCTGACTTGTTGACGAACTTCGTACTTCTGTTGTTCTGATAACGCATCATAACTGATGTGACTTCTGTTAGCCTGGGTAGATATAATATATAGTTAAAGACACATTATGGGAGATAAGATAACGAGATGGCAGTTCTCGCTATAATAGTTAAAAACTAGATAGTGTAAAGGTAATTTGCTGAAAATTTCAGTCAAATTGATCCACTATGAGCCGAGAAAGAAGCGGGTGAAATTTTGGCATAGTCTCGGTCATCATTACTAAAATCATTAATATAAACAGCTTAGTCTCGATTATCCACTTTTTTTGATTTAATTATCAACGGCTGTTAGCGGCATATAGGAATCTAATCCAGCCAACATCAAAGGCTAGCCTTGACATCAAGAGTTTATTATGGTCTGGATAAGTTAATTAATGAATGTCTAATTGATAATTTAGATAACATTTCAGGCCTAAAGAAAGACTTGTAATAAGCAGATTTTGCTCTTACATAATGTATGTTGAATATATAACCTGTTATAGCCTGGGTAGATATTGAACCATGTACATGAGATGTGCTCTGGAAACAAAACTGGAGTGGACAGAGCCCTACCTTAAATTTGTTTGGGTTTGGATAATAAAAAAAAGGTTAATTTTAAGAACAACAATAGTTAAAGGCTTACCAAAGTATCATGCATGGCCAATTCAGATTTAAGAAAGGAAATTTCTTCTTGTAACTTTTTACACAAAAGCTGAAATAAATGAAATAAATGAAATAAATGAAATAAATGAAATAATGGAAGTTAAAAGTATTTTGATCTTCGGGTTTTGAGAGATGATAATCTAGACGATCTTGATAGAGATAAATATTGTTGAAATTTGATAATTACAGTTTCTAATATATCTGGACGCATGTGCAACTGAAATGAGTGAAAGAAAGTTCCGTTGCTAGGGAAGCAATCTTAGTTGCATGTTATAGGTATTTGAATGTGGCCATGGAATTGATGTGTAGTCATTGAAACGTTATATTGATAGTTAGTATATTTGATAATCAGAAAATAAAGACATGTAACTTACAGCAGGATCGTAAACTCTGTTGACAGCTGGTTCACTGATGACACACATCATTCTAGTAGCAAACCTTAAAGTTGATACCTAAATAAAACACATGGCAGAATTAATATTTTCTTAACCTGGGATTTTATTACTTACAAAATGACCCAAGTAATCTATATTTTTAGATGGGCGAGCTGTAAAATTTGCTTTACGTACCCTCGCAAAAATGTTTTTCAAAAAGTATACTAGACAGTTAACGCAACTGACGGTCAGGGAAGCTTGACATATATAAGTGAAACAACAACCTTTTTCAGTCGTCCCTACAAACGGGATTCAATAAATAGTCTACAATAAACTTTGGCCAACATTTAGTCTGTCCGCAGACACGCGTGAATGTCGACAAACGATTTTAGATGAGGCATTATAGTCCAATAGATGATTAACTTCAGCCAGGAAAATTCAGATTGAGGAGGCTACAATTGTTGCCATTCTAAATCTACTTCGTTTCGTATTTTTATAGATCAAAATTTCGTTTTACTTGTCTTTACTACACTAGGATCCGAAAGGGTTGTTCTGTAACCCGCGCACTGGTTGATGTGAGGGATTATCGAATGGATTTTGCCATTTTAAATATCTTTTAACGATGAAATTGTACGTAGGTATACTTACCGTTTCTTCCATCTGTGTTGCCTCCCCCCACATATTAGCGACCAGGACGGTATTACAGTTTCCACCAATAGAATCTTTTAAATAGTGGGTTAATTTTGACTGACGGAATGGTATGTGTTCCCGTCGTCTGTCAGCCAGTGCTACAATAACTTGTTCTAAAAATGACAGCGATTTGTTGATATACGTGGCCTCTGTTTGAGTTTTACCTTCCGACTGTAAAAAGAGAGAAAGGAAATGAAATGAGGTTTAACGTCCTACTGTTCCGCACCGACTGGGCTAATGCGAGAGAGAAATGAGGTTTAAAGTCCTACTGTTCCGCACCGACTGGGCTAACGTCCTACTGTTTCGCACCGACTGGGCTAATGCGAGAGAGAAATGGGGGTTTAAAACGTCCACTCGACACAATATTTCAATAATTCACTTGCGCGTAGGGGTCTTTAGCAGTGGGAGGAAACTGGAGGGCCCAGAGAAAACCCATGAGGTTGGACAGACGACCCTACTCCTTGTCACGTACAACCAGGGAATCGAAACCCCGCCAGTTGACTCAATGACAGACCTTATGATACAGCACGCACGTGCTAACCATTCGGCCATTGCCCCCCCCCCCTTCCGACTTGGCTAATGAAGACAGGCACATGCCATACAGTGTGATATGGGGGTAATTTTACCCAGACAGCATCACTACAAATATACAAGTCTCCCTTGGGACTATGGAGAGAAAGAAATCACAAACAAGTCTATCCATTAGGATATTTTGAGATTAACATGTGATATTGTGTTGGTACTGCAGTGCAGGATGACGGCACATCACACAACAACAAAATTAAACTTAAAATATATAAAACACATACATCCACTTCTCTAATGTAGTCTGTTTAAAAAAAAATGGTCCTCAAAACCATAAAAAAAAAAAAAGAATCAAAATCGTATGCAGTGATCCTTTGTCAGAATTGAGTGACATTTGAATCCTGTCGCGGTTCTGCCAATCGCAGTAACAGATGCGTAGTCAGCAGAATCGTTTTAGCTTTAGTGTCTGCCTTGCTGCCCTAAATTCTAGTGTTTATTTGATTGAGTTTTACAAGGGATTGAGAGAATTGAATTCCGGAACGTTCAATCAATTATCCTCTTCAGGAATTATTATTTGGTTACTCCAGCTATTGTTGAAGAATCAACTCACCTTTGTTTTTCCCAATCTTTCTGATCCTGCTAGATCTACGAAGTTTAATTTGGAAACGGTATATCTGGCATCGGATTGGACTCGAGATCGGGACTGGAAGATAAAAACATGTAACTATTAGCAACACATTACTCTTGATAAAACTAGTGGTATTACAAACTCACACAACACAGTAAAAGCCACCATGAACAAACTTCTCCACAATTTTCGTTTTTGTATCTTGTCAGTCAAATAATTTCTCGCACTACAAAATGATTGGATACTTGGCTGTAAAATCTTACAAGAATATTGTCAGCATGTTCATCAAAGGTTATGCCTGTCATGATAAGACTAGAGATAAGTAAAACTCAACGGAAGATTGGTAGAACAACACTTTAGATCAATCTGCCAATGAAACCCTGGTAAACTTACTAACCTCCAGATAAACTGTGAATATACAATGAGATCGTGATGACTGTTTATTTAAAGAATGAGCTGATATAGCACGATTCGTTTCTCCCTGAAAAAAAAAAAATAAAACTTAAATTCACTAATCACCCATTTGATGGATTGATAATCCGTTATAAACAGCAACATTTTGAAAATTGAATCTCTTAAAGGAATGTTTCAATTCCATTCAGTATTTATAAGATATGATAAATTGAAAATTCATTCGGCATGCACTGCAGATGATATGGTCAAACGCCAGGGCCACCAATAATAATCTTTTTCGTCCTGGAACTTTATCTTCCATAGATATTTTGATGTTTTCTTAATCAAATATTATCATGTTAGATTTAGATAAAGTGCTTCCAGCTCTCGCTATAAAAGTTCAAAAATAGATAGAAAAAAATTAATATATTGAAAATTTCGGTCAAATTATACTTAATTCTGTGCTAAATTATGAGTGTTGGGAGATGTATAGTAGATTGTTTATTACCGTAGCAACGGTACTGGACAAAGAACGCTGTCTTGATTATCCATTTTATAGCTAAATGTTTAAATCTCGTCAGAGTTCTAATCCGTTAAAATCTCTGCCATCCGATGGTGTAGAGTTATTGGTTTGTCAAGTATATAAATGTCTAAATAATATTCTATATAACACTGGAAGCCAGAATAAAGATATGCAATTAAGCAGATTTAGCTCTAACATAATGCATCTTTAATCTTATATTTAAAGCTATAATATGTTTTACAGCAAATTGTCACCTACCTCAAACAGCAGATTTAGAGCCTCTTCTTCATTTTGAACTAAGTGACATGAGAGACCTTTAACGAAAACACCATCACTATTCTCCGTGACAACCATCGGTTCTCCGTTCATCTGACCGCCATTAGCTTCAGGTAGTGTGGACAGTAAGTCAAACATTGTTTCATTATAAATCTCCATGTACGATATTCTATAGAATAGATAAATCATTATAAATCTCCATGTATGATATTCTATAGAACAGATAAATCATTATAAATCTCCATGTATGATATTCTATAGAATAGATAAATCATTATAAATCTCCATGTACGATATTCTATAGAATAGATAAATCATTATAAATCTCCATGTACGATATTCTATAGAATAGATAAATCATTATAAATCTCCATGTATGATATTCTATAGAACAGATAAATCATTATAAATCTCCATGTATGATATTCTATAGAATAGATAAATCATTATAAATCTCCATGTACGATATTCTATAGAATAGATAAATCATTATAAATCTCCATGTATGATATTCTATAGAACAGATAAATCATTATAAATATCCATGTATGATATTCTATAGAATAGATAAATCATTATAAATCTCCATGTATGATATTCTATAGAATAGATAAATCATTATAAATCTCCATGTATGATATTCTATAGAATAGATAAATCATTATAAATCTCCATGTATGATATTCTATAGAACAGATAAATCATTATAAATCTCCATGTGTGATATTCTATAGAATAGATAAATCATTATAAATCTCCATGTGTGATATTCTATAGAATAGATAAATCATTATAAATCTCCATGTATGATATTCTATAGAATAGATAAATCATTATAAATCTAAACTGGAAGTTTTAATTAAAATCATTTAAAGTTTCATTGGTTTCCATTAATTTCAGACCACAATCTTAATTTTCATTAGCTCAGTCGGAGTAGAAAAAGAGTAGAACGTAAAACCCTATTTCATTTTATCCTAAGACAATTAAAGTAATATAATTGTGATCTTTTTTCCCACAAGCCAGTCTACACATCATAAAGGTTTTTATAATCAGATGTGTTTAATTCAGTATTTGCATTAGAGGGAGCCACAGTGGCTCAGTGATTAAGGCGCTGGCTCACTAGTCTAGTGATGGCCGAGATAGTAGCCTTGGCTTGTCCAGCGTGGCGTCTCCTTGTCAGTATTACAGGATGGAGGGCCTGGCAAGCAACAGCGTCTAGTTGTTTGGATGAGATGAGAAACTAAGGACCTGTGTACACCTTGTCATGCATGTGAAAGAACCCTTGGCGGATCAAAATCAACTGACTGCCTGCACAAAAAGTCCCTCATAACACACTGTATTGCATCTGCCCATCTATATGAGCTTGGTTTGTGCAGAAAAGTAGGATGTTAAAAACCATTTCAATAATTCATTCTTTGCATTAAAATAGAAATGAAATGAATTGAAATTTGTTTTAATTTTCTACTGTCCTGCTACTATACTGAGCTAATGAAGACGGGCATACACCATACAGTGTGCTATGAGGGAAATTTTGCCCAGGCAGTAGCACCATGGCATACTCTTATATCGAATTTCAAGTGCCAAGGGATCTTCTACGTGCACGCCAATGTATACGTGCACACCAATTTTTCATCCCATCCGAACAACTAGACAGCTGTCCTTGTCGGGCCCTCCGTCCTGCACCACTGACCTGGGGGAACCACATCGGAAAATCGTGATGAACTTTCTCGGCCAAGGCAGGGATCGAACACCTGACCTCCAGGCTAGCGAGCCAGCATCTTACCCACTTAGCCACTGTGGCTCTCCGCATTAAAATAGTGCATATTTTTTAAATACCGGGAATGCGTATAAATCTTGACTTGTTGTGTCTACCAATCAGGCAGTATAATATTGTCAGATATATTTACCGGACATTGATGGAATATTCTGGTTTTTCCTCGATATCATGAAATAATTGAGAAATGGATCGTGGAATCAATCCTCGATGTTTATAACTCTCTGTAGCACCTGTCATGGTAAATGTTTTACCGGCACCAGTCTGGCCATAACACATCAAGGTTCCTGGAAATAAATGATGAAGTACATGTAGTTGGACAATAGTCTTTAAACTTACTTGTCATTCTCTATGTGAACAAAATATTTTGGGCAGGAGAGTGGATTCATTAGCCCAGTTGGAGCAGAAAAGTAGGATGTTAAACCCCATTTCATTCATTCGAACTTGATTTGTTAAGTACTGCATAGTATCTATTTTTATGTCTAACTGCACTCTCCCGGGATTCCCACATCATACCTCATTGGGGTCATAAAAAATATTACTATTATTACTCTTTATAAAACATTGTATCGTTGAGTAAGCAACAAATAACGACACTAAAAGATCAAAGTCGTCAGTTTATATACATAATGTGTATTAGTTAGTTAAAATTGTTAGTAATCTGCCAGTAGTCATTAAGTAAGTGTTTTGTCACTATGGTGTTAAGATGGTGACGATTGAATGATATACATCACAATTGTCCAGGTTTGTGTATTAAATAGTGATGGGTGTTATAATTAGTCACGCTTTTACACTAATAGTGACATCTTTTACAGTTAGTTACACACCTATTTATCAATGACAACTGTATAATTTCTAACCACTCTCTATACATACTAAACATTAGTTTATAATACTGACCACTTATATCATTTAATGACAAAAACAATCACTACTAAAAGTTCCAGGTTCATTATTGAATGGTATCAGATTACCAGTGAAAGATACCATTAGTTTACTATTTAAAAGATAAATTGCATGATAGACCACGGATGGTACAGACTACAGAGACTGCTTACTGTAATCAGTTGATATATAACTTTTCTGATCGCACACAGAGTCTGTGATTTGTGTTTTATTGGCTTCCTGTGTATTTGTGTTATGTTTGTTTTGCTTGTAAATGATGCATGGAGCAGTCATCCTGCCCTGCTGTGAATTTTGTTTTTTTAGTGTGTTATTATGCGACAAATCTCACCATTATAGCCATCTAAACTGGATGTAACGATATCAGATGCCAGGGTTTCATAGACGTGATCTTGACTGGCATTGTGGAATATTCCGTCCAACTTAAATCCCCAGTCCAATATCTGATTGTTAACAACTCCTTTTTTCGGATCTTTACGTGTGTGAACATTGACGCTCTGAAATAAAAACAATTTAAAGGCTCAATACCACTCTTGTTGTAACTGAATAATATGTCCCAATCTTTATTCTAGTCAACAAATTGCACTATTTTACAATATTTCAATTAATTCATGATACAAATTTCATCTTAACACACCTAATTTAAAAAATTGGAAAAATCCAACTAAATGATTTGAAAAGCCTAACGTAAACCTTTTCAAATGTGACTTGGATTTAAAAATATTTTCAAACCGTCCGGAGAAGTAAAATAGGGTGTAATGGATAATTTAGACAACAGGTAGGACACTTAAACATCTAGTACTTAGAATAAGGCTATTATTTATTTTCTGGATCTGTCAAGCCAGCAAGAGTGTTATTGTCCCTTTAATACATTTTTGGATGAATTGTTTTTTTTGTCAGACATACATAATTTAAATAAAATTGGAAATCTATAAGTGGTGGGTAGGTGTCTCAGAATTCTCTCAGGAAGCTACTAGTTTTGTTCTTATGCAAACTAGTCATTCGGATGGGACGAAAAAACGAGGTCCTGTGTATACATTGGCATGCATGTAAAAGATCCCTTTGCAGTTGGAATTTGATATAAGAGTAGACCATAATGCTGCTGTCCAGACAAAATTTCCCTCATAGCACACTGCATTTGATTACTGGTACCTACATTGGCATGCATGTAAAAGATCCCTTTGCAGTTGGAATTTGATATAAAAGTAGACCATAATGCTGCTGTCCAGACAAAATTTCCCTCATAGTAGTCATAGCACACTGCATTTGATTACTGGTACCGTACTGGTACCTCACGAATTTACTCACCCTATCATAAACTAGGCCAATGCGCAATGAATGGCCTATCTCATACTCAGAGTCCTGACAAAACTGTGTTAATCGCGATTCCTTGAATCCTTGTCTTGTCACCTAGAAGTACTAGTTTGATCTGCATTTCTACTAGTACTAGGCCTAATTCACGCCATTCATTTCAAGATTCCAAATTTTTAACCCAAATTTTACATTCTTGAATTGGACTTTTGCAAGTTGTTTTAACTATTTTTTTATTATTTTTTATTAGGCCTATATTACTTTAGTAGACTCTAGTCTTGCCATTTTAGTCCCGGTATTTTTTTCAGTTTATTAACTTTTTGGCTAATGACTTATTAAATTACCTTTCCATCTGGGAGTAATTCTAACGTATCTTCTGCAAAATTTGCTGTTGGTCGGATTCTTCCCCAAACGCAAACTTTCTTACTTCTTTGGTTTGTTTTACTACTCATGATGCTGACTTGAAACGTGTCACAAACATCCAATAACTACAACTATTCTTTTCCGACAAACTAAGCTTCCATATTTGTTTACAGGTTGTTAAGACCGCTACGCACGCGTCAGATGGGTTTCCGGCGGAAGTTTACGTAAGGATAAATTAGCTCTGATTATCCAGATTCTCTATCTGTTACCGAAACCATTGAAAGGTCTTGATAAACGCGAACCACAATATGTCTGCTCTCTAAAATGAAAACATCCGCTTTGCTGTAATTGCTGTGATTATTTCAAAGATTAATGCCATTCAAGATTAGTGATGTCACTCCTTTATTCGCCAGAAACGTAAGTAAACTTTAAAGTAACAGATTTCATAAGAAAAACAACAAGGTTCTTAATGGGTGTCCGCTTTGTATGCCATTTTTGTTGTTGGTCATTCTTGCATTTTATTGTTTTATTTATTTACTTTGACTTTGTTACTAATGTCAAAATATTTATTGATCTGTTTTCATCAATGACTTTGATGTACTTTACATAAAATGAATGTTAACACAGTATTCAAAATTTATAATACAATTGTATAAAATAAAATTGACAATATTGGTGAATGATAAACACAAAAGGTACCCGATATATAAATTGTAGATTTTGATATTTGTATTAATACTTCACTTGAACTTTGAACTGTCACTTGCAGCATCACTGATGAAAATTCTCAACAACTTGTTGGATGAGGTCTTTCAAAGTTCAATGCAATTACTGTCCACAATTTTGGCAACTAGCCACGGCTGACAAGGAAGTGTTTTTGATATATTATAAAGATTTGCCCTATTTGATATTTAAAGGATGTGTTTCTTGTGTTCATGTCATGTTTTATTTCAAATAGTGATGGTGGCAGTCTATATATACATGTATATAGAGTCAAGTCCATTTTAAACCTTGTGCATTCCATTTTTTCCTGTCTCATGACATGCTGCCTTCTGTTTTTTCAGTTTTGTATAATAATATCTATTTTGATACTGTTTGGCCATATTTGCATGAAAAATTTGTATTATTGACTGAGCTTGTTTCAGCTTTTTAGCAGAATGTTATAGATCAATTTACCTAAAGTCGTCATAAGGGAATTCTCTCTTAGTGATCAGTGGTATTGGAATTCAATGTTTTCGGGTGATTTATGAAAATAAAACGTTAGCTATAAGTGTGTTTTTTAATCACATAGATTTTTTTAAAAAATTGTATTTTCCGCGATATTCCGTTTCAGCAGATTGTAATACTGTTTCAAATGCCAGACTCCGCAATTTTTTAGTTTTTTCCTTGATCGCAGAAAAATCATCACCCCCACACATATCACAGACATATGGTCACACATGTGATATAAATTCAGGCTTTGTCATAAAACCAGTCTTTGATAGCTCCTTGCCATACAGGAGTGTTTACTTACCGCTTGCGGTTTCTGTTTCTCATCTTCAGTTGGTTTTTCACCGGAATCAACCTTTCATGATCAGAATCAGTGTGCTGTGATATGAGGGAATTTTTGCTCAGATAACCTTAGGCTAAATCTACTTGTTAAGGCCAGCTCAATTTTAGTCAAGGTCGCTGAGATGTAAATAAGATTAGGGCATGTAATTGTTGGTGAGATTGTAGGTTAGGGGTTAGGGTAAGCATTGGGGCTAGTATAGGGTTAGGGTTGGAATTAGCGCTAGCCCTGTTTACATCTGGTGACCTTTGACCAAACTTGAAGTTGGCCTTATCAAATAGATCTATCTGTTCTTTTTTGTGCACTGCATGCCAATATGTGAATTGGACGTCTGTTCTTCATCCCATCTGAACACCTTCTGTACCTCCGACATGCTGGAAAATCTGGGGGACCCTTTCTTGGACAAAACCGGAATTGTACTCAACCAGCGCCCTACTTACTAAATAACCGTGGCCCCCCCCCCCCCATGGCTTCATACATACATTTTTTGTAGTACAGTACTGCAACTTTTGTCATGAATACATTGTCCATTCTCGACTGGTTCATGTGTCAAAGGTCAAATAGTGCATTTTTCATGAAAACGACCTATATCATGCAAATTTTTATCTCCTCCTACAGTTTGGATCCTTCATCAAACTTTGACATAGTTTTCTACTGAAGAGACTTAGCAATCGGTAGGAAACCGACCTTTGAATTTACCTTTATTTCCAAATTTCCAACTCAGTGAACTTAAGTATAGTTGGAAAGCTTCAGCGATCGTTATCTTCTAAATTAATCAATGTATTGGAACCAAGCTTCACGGGAATAGTAGACAATGAAATTTGTTCATTTGATATGACATAATTTAACAGAAATCTTTGGATTTTGAAAAATTATTAAATCGTGTATTTTTCATGTACGTTAAAGGGACATTCTGGGAGATAAGATAGAGTTGATAGTTCTCGCTATAATAGTTAAAATCTAGATAACATAAATGGAACCGAGATATTAGCTTTTGAATTTTAGGCTATAGTCTCGATCATCATTACTAAAGTTGGTACGACAAAAAACAAAGTCTCGATTATCCATTTTTACGTTTAATTATCATTCACAAAATGTATTCCAATTGGCTAAATATCGCAGGCTAGCGATGGCATCGAGAGTTAATTATGGTCTTGATAAGTTAATTAATGTCTAATTAATAATTTAGAGAATATTTAAGGGTTAAAGAAAGGCCTGCAATAGGCAGATTTAGCTCTTGAATAATGTGTCTTTAAATTTATATTTTTAAATAATCGATAAAGACATGTATTTAATATGAACTTTAAAAGTATATTTAATATTATAATTTATCATCAGTCCATTGGTTCTCAAAGTATGTTCTACATTTTTTGAATGATTGTCGGCAATAGTTAGTTATCTCCCTTGCTATAACAAGATGATTTGAGAAGCAGTTTCACAGGATAGCCAGATCACAAACATGATTTGTAAATCTAACACTCTAGTGGCACGCTAGAGAATATCAGTAAACAAACGCCAAAAGGGTGAAATGTCGATTGCTTACTTTAATTTACTACTTGATGGTATGTGCAGGAGAACCACACCACACACAAATAGAAACCAATAAGACAAACTTGTGAGTGACACAAACTTGTGAACAGACATAATAAACAACAAAAACATCATCAAATCAACTGAATGGATCTGGGAAGGGGGGGGCTTGTCGTATATGTATGCTTCACAGTACATAGTCACACAGGCATGATATAGGCGTCACTGAAATGAAAACAAACTCACAACAATAGACGAAAATCTAAGATGAAAAGGGGAATATTTGCGAAGCATTGTATTATTCTAGTATATCATGATGGTGATGATCAGCTGTGTTTTTACAAGATATTTCAATGTCAGCACGCTGAAGAAAACGGTTTATAATTAAAGACAAGAGAGGCGCTCAATTGTCAGTCGGGAATTGACAGAATTGCAATTGATTGACGTAAAATTCAGTCCTGTCACACTTCTGTCAGTGCCCACAACAGAGGTGGTGTAAGTAGAATCGTGATGTAATTAAACACAATGAATATGTTTCAACTGTCATGGTTGGTGGAGATATTTTCTTATGCAGTCTGCGGTGGCGCATGCATTGTACCCCGAAAATCCCCCTGAGAGAATTCAACCCTAGTGCATTCAATCGAATATTCCAGGCTATGACTGTAAATAGTAATCACTAGTTGAATACTGTTAAATGTCCACAGTATATCAAAGCAAATTGAAGTGTACAACTATATGCTATTATTGGTGACAGCTTTATGTATAACCTAATTCAGTTTTATAGTTGATTTACATATGAAGATAAAGATAGACATGTAAGCATGTTATTTGAATATGGTGTAGACAAGGTTATTTGACCCTGTATTAGCTGGATATGATTGTCTCCCTTCCATGTGATTTAAATATGAAAATAATAGGTCATGCATAGACTGGTTTATTATGAAAAAGTTTACAAGTACTTTTCAAATATTTTAAAGCTGAAGTCCTTCATATATTATTTTAAAGCTGAAGTCCCTCATATATTTTAAAGCTGAAGTCCCTCATATATTTTATAGCGGAAGTCCCTCATATATTTTAAAGCTGAAGCCCTTCATATATTTTAGTAAAATAGAAATATGGGGTTTAACAGTCTGTGCACCAATTGGGCTAATGCGCCAGACAGTGTGCTATCAGGGAAATTCTGTCTGGACAGCAGCACTATCACCTACTCTTATTTAGAATTCCAACTGCCAAGGGATCATTTAAATGCGTGCCAGCAGGTACATGGGACCTCCTTTTTTTTGTCCCATCCAAACAACTAGAAGCTGTCCTGCACCAATGACAAGGGGAATAAGATAAAATCAAGTATGAACAATCCAAACTATTAGACAAAATTCAAAATGCTAAGGCTGACCTTAAAAATATCTTTGTTTCGCCTAACGCGACCGACTAACTAAAACCACCCCCGACTTAAATTATTTTATTGCACTTTTCCGCGATCTTTTTCTTTTATTTTGTGTGTCAACCTGAAATATATCACGAGAGTTATTTCCCTTTACTATGGCTATGGTTTGATTCATTATTGAAACTGGTTGATCAAGACGAAAGCGTCATAGGTGTCGCTTCTCAACAAAATGGTTGCAGACGAAAGCACGTCCATTCCCACGAAATGATTCTGCCTCTATGTCTGTGGGGCGTCGTTTTAAACATGACGACGATATTTTCAATATCCGTTTTCGAGAAAAATAAAGGCACAACCCCCGCGATCGTTAAAAACGTGTTGAGGGAGTTTCAAACGTGAGTTTGTCGCAATTTGTGTGCGAGTCGTGCATCAAGAAAAATCCCGATGTCATTGATTTGTTTGCCAATAAAAGAAGACGAATGTTTGCACCCGGAAAATTATCAAGCTGTCAAATTAGCTCTTAAAAAAAAAAATCTGAAAAAAAACCCGACCTACCGACCCTTCTCCTCGATTGTGGGTCGGGTTTAGTGAAACAAAGATATTTTTAAGGTCAGCCTAAAAAGAAAATAACAGGTATAGGCAAAATGGTGTATTCTGCAAATGGACTGTTCACCGTGTCTAAAATACACGACAAACAGTGGTAACCACCCTCTTCTTAGCCACTGAGCCAAAGTGGCTCCAAGGATGGGGGATCTAGATTTTAACTGATCTCATATCTCATAGTTTATTTTTTTTGCAAATGATTTTATCACAGTGAGAATTAATGTCTCCTGCCTCAGTAACAGAATAAATATATGCCAGACAATCATTAACTACTTACACATTTATCATTATATAAGACATCTAATTGTTTATTACTCTACATAATCTAAGTAGAAATGATTATTACCCAACTTAGTCAAGGTATGGTATAATGAAACTATAGAAGGCCCCCCCCCCCCCCACACACACACACATACACCCCCGCCTCAATTAGAAACAATGTTATTGTGTGAACTTGTAAACCCCATTTTATATCAGAAAATTAAATCTGGGATTTTATAATCATTTAAAGTTGTTAAGTGCCAGTCCACGAGAAAACCATGCAGAAAACGGGAAGGTGAGGGGTCGGCCGATTCCATTCATATTCATAGGGTTTGGTCATGCCCATGAGACTACTCGATAGCCAAAACCGCCGATCTCAGAAATTGACCATAGCTGAGATACGGTAAACAGGTGTTTTTGGGGGCTTTTTGCTCATTTTTTCGTCAATTTTAGGCAATGTTAGCTGCTGTTTTTCAGGTTGTAAATGAGTACTTATGAAACAAATGATGATTCGATATATTAGGCTAGGTAGTAATGTTTCAAAAAAATGAAAAAAGAAAAATCTATCTTTCCACTGAGGGGTGCCATTTGGTTATTCCTGAAGGGTATAAATCGAACCCTATAAAGTACCCAAATTTATGCCCCGATATCTCCACTGCCGCGGGGTCCCATGAATTCTTTTTGTGGTTGTTAGTAAATGGGTACAAGGCCTCTCGATTAAAAAAATAAAATTTCATATATCTTCATACGCATGCGCGATAACATTGTCTAAGTTTTGACAATTTTGATATTGAATCATCTGATATTGATATGTTCTAATCAATATAGTGACAAAATATGGATGCTAAACCATCGGCAATTGACAGACTAGCGTTTCGAACCCGCTCGGACAGTTCTGGTATCCAGCCATCCAAGATGGCGGCTGCTGTATGTGGTTTTTCGCATGTTTTATTGAAAGAGTATACTAAAGACATCAGAGGGTATCTCTCATTGGTAGCAGTGGATTTATTATGCGGACGCAAAATACTAAGAGTGATTACTGGTGATATCGGAGAGAGCATTTCATTGATATTTACTATTTGTCAATGACAGTAACATCGTCCTGCTCATATTTACTATTTTTCAATGATAGTAACATCGTCCCGCTGATATTTACTATTTTTCAATGATAGTAACATCGTCCCGCTGATATTTACTATTTTTCTATGATAGTAACATCGTCCCGCTGATATTTACTATTTGTCAATGATTATAACACCGTCCTGATGATATATATTTACTATTTGTCAATGATAGTAACACTGTCCTGCTGATAGATCCTGATATATATTGAGGAGATTAGATTCATGAGGTACTTCCACTGTTATATCCTTCTGATATTTTGTAAAAATTTATTAATGTAAATTGTGTATGATATTTTGCGAGCGTTCATGAATGTAAATTTTGTATAATACTGTATTTGATATTTTGTAAGGAAAGGATTCATTGAATGTCTCTGATATATTGTGAAAAATTATGAACGTAGTTTTTGTATTACATTTGATATTTTGTGAGGGTTCATGAATGTAATTAGATGTGATATTTTGTAAGGATTAGTATTCCCTCCCGAAAGTAAATTTTGTATATATTTGATATTTTGTGAGGATTAAGGATTGACTCACGAGGTCAATAACAGGCATTGCCCAAATTAGTATTTAATCTGCGATTGTATATTTTTACCTCAGAGAGCAATCTGCGTTTTCTGCTTTACGTACAAGTTAAAAAAAAATGTTACGAGTCAGAGCAACATGTATAAAACTACTCTACTACTAGTACCAATTGTTGCTGTTTGATATTCTGATATATACATATACCTAATATATTGCTACATTAAGCCAATTGAAAAAAAAAGTTTTTTGTTTATTTTGGGGGCTTTTTTGTGAAAATGATGATCACCGTACTTTAAGAGTGTAGGACTACTACTTGTAGGTAGGGTATAGTCTAAATATAGATGATTAACTCGTTGGTCGCAGGTAGAGGTAAAGATAACATCGGTCCTGAAAATTGAAAGAAAAGAAAAAATCTTGCCTTTTTAGTCATGCTGACCTGGAACTTTTTAGTGTAGAATTTATTTTCCAATCTTGATGATTTAGGCCTACATTTTACTATTCAATGACTACTGGGAGCTATGACAGTTCTCTCAACTGCAGCTTGTAATGAGATCTGTACATATCAAGAGATTTAAGAGTGAAATAATGCAAATTTTAGCAAATTTTCACTTCCAGTTGCAGTAAGAGTTGTCATACGAACATTATGTTGCGAAAACTTAGCAGCTGTGAAGGCGTCTGTATTATACTACATTTGTTTGAATATCAGTTTGATAATATTGGGGATAAAGCTTCAAATTTATCCGATTTTTGTCAAAATTACCCACTATTTTTGAGAGTGTAGTTATAGACATATATGAAATTTTATTTTTTTAATTGAGACACCTGATACCCAGTTACTAACAACCACAAAAGGAACTCATGGGACCCCGCGGCAGTGGAGATATCCCGGCATAAAGTTAGGGTACTTTATAAGGTTTGATTTATACACTTCAGGAATAACCAAATGGCACCCCTGAGTGGAAAGATAGATTTTTCTTTCTTCATTTTTTTGAAACATTACTACCTAGCCTAATATATCCAATCATCATTTGTTTCATAAGTACTCATTTACAACCTGAAAAACAGCAGCTAACATTGCCTAAAATTGACGAAAAAATGAGAAAAAAGCCCCCAAAACACCTGCCTGCCGTATCTCGGCTAGGGTCAATTTCTGAGATCGGCGGTTTTGGCTATCGAGTAGTCTCATGGGCATGACCAAACCCTATGAATATGAATGGAATCGGCCGACCCCTCACCTTCCCGATTTTGCACGATTTTGCATGGTTTTCTCGTGGACAAGCACTTAAGAATAAAAAAAACCAATACAATTAAAATGATGTTTTTGTCTTTAAAAAATTTATTTCTTAAATTAAAAAAAAGAAATACATGTATTATAAAAGAGTCTATACACTGTAGATTATTATATGTGCAGTCAAGTTATTATGAAATAAGATGAATTATACATGAATTACAATATGAAGAGAGGCATGTTTATTATGAAGACTAGTTTATTATTATGTTTAATCATCAAACAGCTGTCAGCTAGTAATAATAATATTAACATAGGCCTATAGATAATAATATTGATAATAATAATATAGATGCTTATATAAATAGGAGACAGCTAATGATTTGATGTATAACTGGACTTATTTTTTATTTTTTATTTTTTTATATATATAGTATAATTTATATAATCTAAGGAAATACATAGGTCTGGTGGTATATCACTTCTTGTTTCTTCAGGGTTATACTGGTATTCACGAAAATCCTATAAAAAAATTGTCACAGTGCTCTAGATGTACAATACATGGTAAAACAGCTGGTAATATTAAGCATACATCTGCCTATTGCAGGTTTTTCTTTAGGCCTGAAATGTTTTCTAAATTAGTAATTAGACATTAATTAACTTATCCAGACCATAATCAACTCTTGATGGCATCGGGTACTCAAGATTTTAACTAGATTCGAATGCGAAAGCGAGGCTAAGTCTTTAATATACCAGTGCCCGGGTTACCACAATGCACACATCTTCTCAAAACTACAGACAGTGATAACTTGGCTCAGAATAAAGTAATTTGAATGATAATCTATTGTTGAAATATTATAGCAAGCCTGGTCAGCTCGTTATCTAAATCTTACATAATGTATCTTTAATGATAATGGTTGTTATCATGATGATGGTAATGAGGATAAGAATAAAGATGCTTATAGTATTTAGAGAGAGAAATTGGGTTTAGCTTCTACTCGACACAAACTAGGTCATTTTGGGACTAACATAGGGTTCAATTTTATTTCAATAATTCGCTTGCGCATTGGGCTAAAATTAAAAGATTGTCTGTTTGCCCAAACGCGACCGACCCAAAAAAAAGCCGCCGAGTCAAATTCTTTTATTGCCGTTTTTGAAGATTTTTTTTTTTAGCAGCATTATTTTTACGCTTGACAATGACACCCAAACGCGAAATAATCGGTCGGGAGGTTGAACAGCCACTGTCATGTCTATACATAGTAACACCAAACTCGACATGTGATTTCCTTAAATCTCGTTATTTATCGCGATAGTTGTTGTTAAGGAACGATATGTGTCATGGCGGACAATTACTTTACACTGTCGTCTTCGGTAGTGATAAAAACCGAAAATAAAGTAAAACCAATCGTTTCGAACAAGTTGCAGCGATTTAACAACAGTAAGACATGGAGGGACGTCTTTGATGATGTCACTGTTGATGAAATAGACACGAAGACAACGGACAAAATGGTTATGACTGTTTCGTTAGGCCTAATAAAAAAGTTAGAGTTTAAAGTTTAAATATTGTTTTGTTTTTGCATTTAGTTCTCAAAGTCTGGTCCTCCCAAAAAAAAAAAAGAATTTGCCTACCTACCTACCCATACCTAATCATCATGAGTCGGGTTTGGGCAAACTGAAATATTTTTAACCCTGGCCTTGGGGTCTTTAGCAGTGGGAGGAAACCGGAGGACACAGAGAAAATCCACAAGGGTGGATGGGCAACAATACTCCTTGCCAGGTACAACCAGGGAATCGAAACCACGCCAGTTGACTCAATGACAGACCTTATGATACAGTGCGCACATGCTAACCATTCGGCCATCCAATCCCCCTATTGTTCAATTGTGGTATAGCTGGACTTATTTTTATTTTTTTTTGATCTATCATAAATTTATTATATTCCGTCAATTCCTGTAAAACAACAGGTAAAACATCGTCCAATAGAACTGCTCGTATATTTCGACACAACGTGAATGTTTCGGGATGACTGCGATCCCTGTTCTAGTGAATAAGACGAACTATTTCTCGTTGGAGTAAAACACGGAAAGCGAAGGGATCGATTAAACACTGGAACTGCTTTCTTTATCGCTGATTTCTCGAAGTAAATCGGTTCGGCACATGGTCCGATGGCGATTGGAATGGCTATTGACAATTTTCCACCTGATGACGAGAATTTGAGAACAGTTTTAACGGAATAAGTGACCTTGACCATATGACAGCCGAATAAAAACGAAGAAAGCATCGCTGTATTAGTAGACAGTATGACATCATAAGACGATGTACTCATTTGTTTTTCTGTCGTTACGACGGCCGTGGATTCTGGATTTTTGTTATGAAGTTCTATCAGTGAGTACGTGGCCCGGTGTCCCGGGGATTTCAGAGTCACATGCTGCTGTAACGTACACGTTATTTCTAATATTTTACGCTTTGATGGAATGGTGGCGCTTAGTTGCAGACGTATGTTATCTCCCGCCATAAAGACGCTTCTGTCTAAGCCCATGTTGATAGTGGCAGTGCTGTTGTTGCCACACGACAAAACGACCTCCTCCGTATGTGAAATGGAATTATTCCCATCTGGCAACATATTGATGTCGAACGGTCGTAACACATTGAATGGTCTTCTCTTAGATAATAGTGATTTAAATTTCGCGTTACCGCCGGACATGCCACTATATATAGAAGTGCTGCTTGGATCACCACATAGCCTTGCTTTCAAAAAATATGAAATGTCCAATCGTAATCCACTGCGATATTCTGAATAGTCTGTTGTCGTGGGAATATCTTTCGGCAGACGAAATCGAAAATTAGACACATATTTTCCCGGAGTCAAGACGGAAGTATATTTCGATTCGTTGGATCCAATAACACATGTTTTTTTGTATATATAACTTTCACGCTGTGTACTCAGTTTTCCGGATTTCATGATGGTCGCATTTCCAACTCCTATAATCATTAATTCCAGAAATCGAATTTCAAGATTGCGTGAAACGTCCATCACGACGTTTCCTGCAAGTTCTTCACCAGGTCGATATTGATAATCATGGGATTGATTCAACTCGATATCGAAATACGAGACAAGGTGGTCGGGAGAATCATGATGTCTGTGAGAATGAGTGGTATGCCCATGTCCGTGTCCGTGAGAATGGTTGCTAGGGTGATGTTTCCGCGCTAACGTCAGCTTCGAGAATTTAAGAGTTCCGTTATTAGCAACCAAGTGTCCACGACTGTGTCGTGATCGTGGTTTTGAAGGAGGTGATTCAAAGAGATCATCGGGGTATGATAAATGTCTGGGCTTTGTCGGCGTTTGACCGTCTGAAGTATTTTCAAATCCAAGATTCGTCACTCCTTGTGGAGTTCCAGTCACTAAGTATTTCCCACCGGACACACGACCTTGAGAGATGAAACCATTGACTACCGTCCGAGTTTGAGTTGGTGTGAGCGTATTCGACTTCACGTGCCCGTTTGCTTTATTCATTGTTTTTATTTGACCGTTTGTTACAGATTTTGATTTTGATTTGATCTGCACACGCTCACTGACAGTTCCAACCGGAATAGATCTAGAGGTTGTGACTTCTCGATTCTCTTCCCTCGTTCCCATTGGTGAAATATATGCAGGTTAAAGGTTGATAAAACTGAAAGTAGAAATAGAGAAAAATAGTACTGATTTATCGGCATTTGTTAAATGTCACTCAACCAAATTCTTACCATTTTTGTTGTAGTGTCAGTTGAATTTCAGACACAGGTTGACAATTTACACATTATAGAACATATTTGAATCATAAAATTATTCAAAATAAATATAAATAATGCTAGAATTATTCAAAATAAATATTTGAATAAAAGTTGAATGATAAACGTAAAAGTACATTTTTTTTGCAACAAACCCAGTGTGGAAAATCAAGAGAAATTTCTCAGGCAATACCCCGGAAATTAAGATCAAAAATATATTCTACATAAGTCTGTTTTTCATCCTGTCACACTCCCATTGTATACATGAGAAATAAACCACAATTTGAAGAAGAAATGCTGATCTCTATGGTCTAAGTTTGTCTTGAAATGACCTAATTTGTGTTGACTCATTTCTCTCTCCCTGTTTACTCACCACAAAGTCCACATTCAATAATAAACGTACAAGACCTAAAGAAATCGCTTACCGGTACATTTATTTTATTATAGTTTATAATCTATTAAATATGTATTTTTATTGAATGACAGATGTTGGTGACCATCCCAACCTACCCAAAACACAAATAAAACCTATGTGAGAAGGATTAATTATTTATTTGTGTGGGTAGCCTCCAGCAGTGTATATAGTACAGTTCATATAAAAAACAGATATACATCGTTATACAAGTTATCCACAAACCATACAAAGTATTATATTATTTTTTGTTAATTCATGATGTTGCATTTCAAAGGAATTTAAATTGGGTCACTTTTTTGAACAGATAGAGAATAATGTGTGTTTGTATACCGTTATATAAAATGACAACCTCCTTTTTATTACTTATAGTAATTATATTTATACCTCAGTATCTTCATTATCAATGAATTAAAATGGGGTTTAACGTCCTACTGTTCTGGGCCCTTATTCACGAAAACTTAAACTAAGATACAATCGAAATTTTAAGAAATTCTGCAATTCGATTCGCTGACCAGTAAAATCAATTTGCATATATCCAATGAAGTTGCAGTATTTCTTAAAATTTTGGTTTTAACTTAGTTTAAGTTTTCGTGAATAAGGGCCCTGCTCCGAATGCGCTAATGAAGACAGGCATACAAAATACAGTGTGCTATGAGGAGGGAAATTTTTGTCCAGAGCTTTTTGTCCCATCTGAACAACTTAACTAGACACTATTCCATGTTTGGCACTCTGTCCTGCACGACATGCAAGGGGAAATACCTAACTGCACCAAAATATAAAAACCAGTAATTTCTCTGTGGTTCAGTTGCATTTTTTCCGGAAAATATCAAAATTTTCACCGCTTAATCCACGCCAAATTATACTCTGAGTCATTTAACATTTAAATAAGAAAACAAAATTGGATTCAATCTAATAAAAAAGGGACCTATCAAAAGATTTCAGCGAAACTCATACATGACACTGGCTTCTGTTGACTTTATCCTATATCTTTACAAGGACCGCTGTCTTGTCATTCGGATGGGACGAAAAACTGAGGTCCTGTGTATACATTGGCGTGCACGAAAAAGTGCTGCTGCTCGTGCAAAATTCCCCTCGTAACACACTGTATGACATATGCCTGTCTTCATTAGTCTAGTCGGAGCAGAGCTGTAGAACATTAAACCCCATTTCATTTCATTTCCTATATCTTTGTGAATTAACAGAATTAAACCACTATCGAACTTATATTTATTTTAATAATTCCATTTTCACAATATATTATAGTTTGCAAGTGATTAACGGTCGCTCAAATGATGAGACATGAATTATATATAATTTCATAAAATTGGTAGTGAGAAAGACGAGACCAAAAAATATTTTTACGACATCTGAATATTTGAAGAATTTTTAAATAAAGTTATTTACCTTTGAGTACATTTTTAGATTTTATGCAGAAATATTTAAAATTGTGCTTTTCGTTATCCAGGATATGCACCGACTGATATTTTTCTTATTGGTAGTTTGCGTTTAGTGCTCTGTCCTTTTGGTTGTAGAGATATGCACTGACTGTAAGATCTTTCTTGATCTTATTAGTTAGCTTGCCGTCGTTTAAAATCGTCCTTTGGGTTGTCCAGAATACGCACAGACTGTCAGATATTTTGTGATCTTGTTAGTTAGAGGTCTATTGTTGAATACACAACCTACATGAAATGTCTACCTACATGTCTACTTACCTGATCACACCTGAATAGGTAAGACATGTGACTCACATACCTTCATAAAACACCCCCTGATATTATTATGCACTTTCTTAATGGATTCTAATATTTTTTTGATAAAACAGATAGGAAACAGAATTAATATACCATTCGCCTCTATTTATGGCTTGTTTTTCTATGCTTGTCATAATATCTTTAAATCTATCAATATCATCAATAAAATAAAACCATGTACGAACAATCCAAACCATTAGACAAAAACGCTATAGGCAAAATAATGTAATCAGCAAATGGACTGTTCATCGTGTACAAAATACACGACAAACAGTGGTAACAGGTGTCCGGAAGAGTAAACTTACCCTGCCTGGCACCACACATTATGCAAGAGCTAAATATTATGTAAATGATTACTTAAGTGGCTCTCACACTCTGCCGTGTAGGCCTACCGTGTGCCACCGTGCTCGAAAATGTCGGCGAGGGCACACGGTGGTTCGTTATCAAAGCGGGCAACACGTTAATAGGGCGTTGGCGCTTATTTACACCCGGTGGGACCCGGCGAAATTTTTGTGCATGTTCAAAACTTTGGCAGGCTGGCACCGGCCACAAGTAAGCGGCAAGAGGACGGTGTTGAACGGTATGAGGACGGTATGAATACGTTATGAAAACGGTCACATTCTATGAACACGTTCACAACATGCTCATAAACTGTTAGAGAACGGTGATGAACGGGCAAAAAAAAATCCACCGTCTGCAACGGGTTGTAAGCGGGTTGTGAACGTGTCATGATCGTATTGATACCGGGGACTCGCTCGCAGGACGCTCCGAGCGGTGAGGGGACGCTAAGTGACTGGTAGGTGGCTGCTACAAACCCGGTGCACACGTTCGAGACCCGGTATGGGCCCGGAAACGGCCGAAATTTTCAACAAAAGTCAATCTGGGCGGTGAAGACGGTAGAAGCACGTTCAACACCCGGTATGCGCCCGGTGAGAACGGTCAGAAGATGGCAACGAAACGGTGAAAAGATTAATTTTTTTTGCGGCCGGGGACAAGTTCGCTCAAAACCCAACGTTCTGCCAACGTTCTGGACTGCCAACGTTTTTTTTTAATAGCCCGGCAGGTGGAAATGAAATGAAATGAAATGGAGTTTAACGTCCTACTGTTCTGCTCCTAACCTGGGCTAATGAAGACGGGCATACGCCATACAGTGTGCTAAGAGGGAAATTTTGCCCGGACAGCGGCACTACGGCCTACTCTTGTATCGAATTCCAACTGCCAAGGGATCTTTTACGTGCACGCCAATGTGTACACGGGACCTCGGTTTTTCGTCCCATCCGAACGACTAGACAGCTTTCCTTGTCAGCCCCTCCGTCCTGCATCACTGACAAGGGAGAACCACGCCGGAAAATCTGGATGAACATTCTCGGCCAATGCAGGGATCAAACACCCGACCTCCAGGCTAGCGAGCTAGCGTCTTACCCACTTAGCCACGTGATCCCCCCCCCCGGCAGGTGGACGGTAGGCCTACACGGCAGAGTGTGAGAGCGCCATTAGGCATTAATTAACTTATCCACACCATAATCAACTCTCAATGCCATCACTAGCCTGCGATATTTAGCTGATTGGAATACAATTTTTGAAAAAATAATTAAGCGAAAAAAATGGTTAATCAAGACTTTGTTTTTTAATATTGTACTAGCCTAAAATTCAAACCTAATATCTCGGTTGAGAATGAAGCAATTTGATTGGAATTTTCAGCATATTCTATTTACATTATCTATTTTTTAGCTATTATAGCTAGAACTGTCAACTCTTTATCTAATTTCCCATTATGCCATTTAAACTATTTTCTGTTAAAAACTGTTTTCTTTTAAAAACTGTTTTCTGTTAAAAACTGTTTAATGTTAAAAACTGTTTTCTGTTAAAATATTGTTTTGGGCAATTCTGTCATATGTGTATATAAAGATTGCACTTGGTATACTGTATTTAGAACTTGGAAACAAGTTTAGAGCATATGGCCAACAAATTTACTCAGAAAATAAACATAGGGCAACAAATCGAAAAAAACAAAAAACAATTTAGAATTGGGAAACAAGTTTAGAACGGAGACTCAAGTTAAATTAGAACTGGGAAACAAGTTAAGATTTTTCAGAAACAAATTTAGAACCAGGACACAACTGGGAAACAAGATTAGAACTGGGACACAACTGGAAAACAAGATTAGAACTGGGACACAACTGGGAAATAAGATTAGAACTGGGACACAACTGGGAAACAAGATTAGAACTGGGACACAACTGGGAAACAAGATTAGAACTGGGACACAACTGGGAAACAAGATTAGAACTGGGACACAACTGGGAAACAAGATTAGAACTGGGACACAACTGGGAAACAAGATTAGAACTGGGACACAACTGAGAAACAAGATTAGAACCGGGACACAACTGGAAAACAAGAATAGAACTGGGACACAACTGGGAAATAAGATTAGAACTGGGACACAACTGGGAAATAAGATTAGAACTGGGACACAACTGGGAAACAAGATTAGAACTGGGACACAACTGGGAAACAAGATTAGAACTGGGATACAACTGGGAAATAAGATTAGAACTGGGATACAACTGGAAAACAAGATTAGAACTGGGACACAACTGGGAAACAAGATCAGAACTGGGATACAACTGGGAAACAAGATTAGAACCGGGACACAACTGGAAAACAAGATTAGAACTGGGACACAACTGGGAAACAAGATTAGAACTGGGATACAACTGGGAAACAAGATTAGAACCGGAACACAACTGGAAAACAAGATTAGAACTGGGACACAACTGGGAAACAAGATCAGAACTGGGATACAACTGGGAAACAAGATTAGAACTGGGACACAACTGGGAAATAAGATTAGAACTGGGACACAACTGGAAAACAAGATTAGAACTGGAACACAACTGGGAAACAAGATTAGAACTGGGACACAACTGGGAAATAAGATTAGAACTGGGACACAACTGGGAAACAAGATTAGAACTGGGACACAACTGGGAAACAAGATTAGAACTGGGACACAACTGGGAAACAAGATTAGAACTGGGACACAACGGGGAAACAAGATTAGAACTGGGACACAACTGGGAAACAAGATTAGAACTGGGACACAACTGGAAAACAACTGGGACACAAATTTTAATCTGGGAAACAAATAAATGGTTTAGTAAATTTTTAAAAAATTTTATTTTTATATTGAACCAGTGACAAGAGGGTCAGTACTGGAAGTGAACAATCAGGACCTCCAAGTTAGCAAGCCAATATGTTAACAAGTCAACGTTTTATTCACTGGACACTGAGCCACCGCGGCTCCTCCAGAAGCTTTTAATCAGGGCAGTAAGTCATTTATATTAATTTACTTAGACTTATTGCCTGTTAGATTACTTGTCGATATAATGTTTTTATATCAGGGCAGTAAGTCACTTATATAAATTTACTTATTTGACTTGCCTATTGAATTATTTGCCAATATAATGTTTTTATATTGTGATGATTTTATAGAAATATTATGTATATATGCACATGTATATTGTGTTAAGTAAGCACAACACACTTTAACATAAATATAATACAATTTTCAACAGAAGGTGTTTTGTTAGGTTTGATAAAAATATTATTTCACACCAAGGTACGTTTCAAGTACAAATAGTGTGAATGACTTGTATGTTGTAATGAAAACCAACACAGAAAAAATATTGCTTATTTATAAAAAAAGAATTAAAAACACACTTGTGAAATCTTGTTGAAACGTCGCAGTGAAATAAACCATAGTAATTGTTATTCCATAAAAGTGTGTTTTTGATTATAAAAAAAGAAGTCTAGATTGACTTGTCTGTAGTAATGCCAACCATGGCACAGATAGTCTAGATTGACTTGTCTGTTATTTGTAATGAATAGCATGGCACAAATACATGTAGTCTAGACTGATTGTCTGTTGTGATGAAAATGATGGAACAACTAGTCTTGATTGACATGTCTGTTGTAATGAAAACCATGGTGGGTAAATTAGGGGGTGGCCGGTGTCGGATTTAGGACTGGCATCTCACAATCTCCTGGGACCACTTCAGTCAACCTGATTACTTATTTCTGGTTTCATTAGCCCGGTTTGTGCTAATGTTTCATTAGTAAAATGTTAAGCCCTATTTTGTTTCATTCAAATTACTCACTTTGTCAGAGTTTCCTGTGATTCATATAATTCTTGTCTTATAATGAATAACTGTGGTAGGATGGCCATTAATGGGGTTGAACGTCCATCGACATAGACTAGATCATTTTGGGTCTAACACATGGTTGAATTTTATTTCAAAGGGGCCTGTAACCAGAGGATCCAGAGAAAACCCAAGAGATTGGACAGGGGACCCTACTCCTTGTCATGTACATGCGGGGATTCAAACTCTTGTCTCATTGACAGAACTAATGATCTAACGGGTACCCCTTAAACCTTTCCACAAGCCAATAATCCCCCCCTATGTCTGCAAAGCTGTTGAACACCATTTCAGGGGTTTGAAGTCTGTTGTAGACCACAATATTTTAAAAGCTAATTGTCTAAAGTAATGGTTCAATTCCACTCAGTATATTCATACAGATATAAATGAATTGAACATTTTGCAATGTTCAGCATGATCTGTTGATGATATAAATGAAATGAAATGGGGTTTAACGTAACATCCTACTGTTCAGCTCTGACTGGGCTAATGAAGACGGGCATACGCCATGATGGAAATTTTGCCTGGACGGCAGCACAACTGCCAAGGGATCTTTTATTATTGTACCAACGCCCAACAGTAGTAATGGCTATTGAGGCTAGCCATAAATTGAAGCGATAATATCTTGGTTCAGATTGACGCAATTTGACTGAAATTTTCATCATATTCTGTTTTCATTATCTATTTTTTAACTGTGATAGCGAGAAGAATTAGCTCTTTATCT